CAATTTTACATAGTTTTAAGAACTGTACCAAAATATATATCTTAATAGTTTTACAATAATATCAATCGTGTTTTATAATTATTTCCATATATATTGTCAAGTTGACATTTTGCAATTATAATTAAATAGTTTTATTAACATAAGATTAATTTTGCATCCACGGGAAGTGTGACTACTATCCAAGACAACTACCACGGTAACTATAATAAGCTTATAATGAGTCGATTGACGAATGAATTATTATGTTATTTTTTTGTCTGTTATATATTTTTTATTGTTTTGGTGGAAAGTGACATTTTGGTCCAATGAAGTCATTTTTTTATTTTTCAGTACGAAATTAAACAGGGTGCAAAAGCAGCCCTTGCAGTTTCTTACCGGTTCCTTTCTTACAGTTTCTTCTTTTCTCGGTACAAGGTTTCCCGTAATAGATTGCCGAACTATAAGCACAGAGATTCGACTTTCTTATATGCTTGTAACTAGTAAGCCAACTTGTCTATAAATTTATTCAATAAATTGTTTTGACTGAATAAATTTCGCTTACTCCTCATTAAGTGAGATACCGTGCGTAATGTGTCACAATTTTAGTTCAGAACATCTTGTTTAGTAGTAAACATAGAAAACTTGAAACACCTACATAATCTTTGTATTATATTATTTGTAAAAGAACATAAAAATACTGTAAACTTTGATGAATAAACAAGAGAAAATAAAGAAAACAAAGTTGGTGATAAAAAAGTGATATAATTTATTAAAGAAGTAACAATTGGCATTTTATTTAAAAATTTGGTTAGCAAAAATAAAACAGCCGATTAATCAATGGGCAAGCATACAAATATTTTCTCAGCACTGAAACAGTCTGCAATTCATCTTCTGTGAACAATCATGATAACGGTCAGCAATTTAAATACAAAAAGGTAGCATATTTTATGATGCATCAGCAAAATAAATCCACGCCGCAAAATAATTATTTGGGTATTAAGATTATACTATTGAACAGCAAAGAAAACCTTTAACTATGCCTTTAATTTGATAAGTGTGTATATTTTAATTTTTATTAAAATTATTTAACTCATTTTATTGTATATTTTACTGGGAGTTTATTATGATCAGAATTTTATATTTTAATATTATTATATATTGCATTCTGATTTTTTTTCAATTAAAATAGTCGTCATATGACCGCAAGACTAAAAATAAGGTACATTTATATAATAACAAAATGACTATATAAAAAACTAAATAAATAAATCAGTAAAATCAAATGAAAATTAACTTAGTGTAATAGACATTTTTTTTAAATTAAGTTTAAAGCAATTGTCAAAAATTCTTACCAGAGTATTTAATTGGCAATGCATCATCTCGTAATTTTATTATATTTAAAGTTCGATTCAAACAACTTTCCCTAAAATGAAGTGAGCAGATAAAAGTAACTTTTTCATTACATTTAATATTTTCTGCTTCAATGTAACTCGGTCATTTTCCTCTTTTGTTTCATCTTTTGGTAATCTAAAATAATTAATATATTTTTAAATATTAAAATTATCGATATAAACCATATGTTAAAGTAACAACACTAGCCATGTAAACAATATTATTTACGGACCGAAATATTATAAAAATATAAACGAAAAGAGCAATATAGCATAAATAGAACACGCCAAAATACGATATGTATCGATTTATTCACGCAATCATTTTCAGAATAACTTACTTACGTTTTAAATACTGTAATTCCAAGAAAGTGTTTAATTTACCGGTGAAACGTAATATTGCTCGGTATGCGGGATATCGATGACGTACAACCAATTACACAGCACCTAGGCATTGTTTTGCATAAATAATTTACAATTTTCTGCCATGAAAGTTATATAAATTAAAGTTAAAAATGAAAATAACCACTAAACTTATAACACTGACAACTGAACTACTTACGAGAATATGCACAGCAAATTTGCAAATGGCGGACAGGTGGTACGATAGCTATATCTCATGACGTCACGTAAAAAAATTTGAACTGTCACACTAGTGCGATCTTTGTTTACTAAAGAAACTTCTTATTAGTTAAAAAAAGACAACATGATGTTTTCGATGTCAACTTCAGATTGCATGATATTTATATAACCTTAGAAAATATTTCCACTCTACCTTATCTCTATGACCGATACCGTCAAAGTATCGATACTACTCATATAAATACTCCTAACGTATCGATACTTACTGATATTGATATTTTTATTAGGTTGAGTCATAAGTAACTTCCGCTTAGGTGTACGGTATCTATTGTTATTGTATACATATACAATGGGTTACCGAGACACGGGATTTTTGTTTTCGCTACGCAGGTAGGACTTTAGTTAGTCTTTAGACAGCTGTCTAGTGCTGTGCACGTTACGTTGTTTTTTTTTATTCAGCTTTAAAACGGAGAATCAAAAAGTACACTTACGCCATGTTATGCTTTGGGAATTTAAACAAAGCAATAGTGCTGCTGCTACGGCCCAAAAAAAATATAATTATAATATACTTAAAACTTATGACTCACATTTAGTACATATTATTACATCAACAGAGTGGTTCCGACAAACATTTTTCATACATTCGGAACACACCTTTGGAGTATTACTGTCTTTGCTTCGTGGACACAAATGACACCTCGTTTTTTCGGCCTCTTGTTTTGTCTTTGGCCTTGTTTTGGTTAATCTTCAGGTATGTCAACACCAACCTCGCGTAGGAACCTGTCGCATCATATCTTTCAGCTCCCTCGAAAGGAAGAGCCTCTTTTTCTTTCCAGAACATGAGGAGTTACTAAAGTATACCCAAGTTCTTCTAAAAATTTGTAACGATTCTGAGGATTAGATGCGCTGTAAAGGACATGACTGTTTACTCCGGAAATATTCAATACTAAGCAAAATATTGTGGTCGGTCATCCTTAACTTCTCCGGTTCTCAGAGTAAGCAGCACACTTCTGCTGAAAAGCATCTACGCCACCTTTGGAAGAATTGTAATAATCGGGTTGGTTTTGGTTTAGTGCATTGAAGACACTAGAGTTATACTGACGTCATTTAGCAGCCTTTCTAGCTGCTGGGCATTTAAATTCTTACTCATACTGCACCACAAACATAAAAAAATGTAGATAAAAAAGATTATCAACATAAAATACTTACGTAACTACACTCGTGGGGGACTTAGGTCCCGCAAAAAACGTACCTCACAAACTTCCAACACTAGCACGATGCACGTCTGCACCCGGACAGCTTTCAGGGGTCACTGGGAATACTCGAAACCGCGACTGTGTCACGTTCAAAATATTTGTATAATTTGCAAAAAACAGAGCGCTGGGGGACCTAAGTCCCCCACGAGTGGTGTTAAGGGTTAATATGAGGATCTTACGGAAAACTAAAACAAAAATTACACTACAATTCAATATAAAATTAATTATCGTTTTTTCTGCTTTCAAAAACGATATTTTTTAATCGAGTAAAACAATCGCATTCTCCATTTTTGACAGAAAAAATGATAATTTGTCCTTCAACAAATTGACCTTGAATATACATCGAAGGTTTTACAAGCACAGCAAATTTGGACTGTCAAATTAAAGCCGCAATGGAACGCTATTACTGGACACATGATCTTTTTGATAAAAATAATACGGAGCAACAAAACTAATTATTTTTAAATTTTAAAAATTGTCAAAATGTATATATCAAGACAAATAGTTACTTACCGATGGAAGGAAATACCTCGACTATAAGATCCAACTATATTGGTGGTGTTTGAGCAGGTAATTATCGAACAACGCGTCATTTTAAATTTCACATCTGATTTCCAACACCGATTGCGATCGAAATTGAACTGAGCCTCGCGGCGAGCAATGGAGCTATCTAGACGTCGTTTCGGCACGCGAAGTACGTACACTTTTTTCTTCTAACTAGATATATTTCTGTGGGTACACAATAATCTGAGTGAACGCAATGAAGCGGATAGGATGTCGATTGCCACTTGTCTCCTCTCAAGAGAAAAAAATGAATCTTTTTTGAAACGGTTACTGCAGATGTGTATGTTCAAAAACTGAAAAGAGTACACGAAAAACTTTTGGAGACGCGCCCTGCACTCGTCAACCGTAAAAACGTCATTCTCCTGCACGTTAACGCAAAACCACATACAGCGAGGGTGACTCAAGAAAAAATTCTCGAACTTGGCTGGTCTGTTTTACCTCATCCACCGTACTCCTCGGACCTTGTTCCGACAGATTATCATCTTTTCTGTTCTTTGCAGAATTTTTTAATGGAAAATTTTTTGATTCAGACCAGGCAGTGAATGAGGCTATCCTTGGGTTCTTCCACTCCAAACCGGCCAAGTTTTACGAGGAAGGAATCAATAAGTTGAGAATAAGATGGGAACAGGTCATAACAAATAATGGAGAGTACATTTTAAACTAGTTTATTTTTTTTACATAATTGAAAAATTAAAGTATGAAAAAAAAAACGGGAGTTACTTATGACTCACCTAAAAGATTAATGAAATGACCTAAGAGATTAATAAAATGAAGGACAATAATTTTATGAGGGCCAAAAAAAAAGTAATTATGTATTTATTTTTATTTCATTTAATTAAGAACAGCTGGACACTGGCTGAATGCAAATTGACAAGACATAAAATGGCGGCACGGCACGTCATACACACAAACACAGTTACATGCCATGCATAACCGAGCGAGCGAGAGAAATAAGCTGTCGCTCTCTCGTTCTATTTGATGGATTCATTTTAAATAAAATATCGCACACACAGAACAATACTGTATTAGTCAGTGTTGATCTGGGGTGTGCGATATAGTCAGGTCTGTTTCAATTTGATACCAAGTATATATCTCGATACTTTTTTCGATACCAAATATATATCACAAGATTGATCGATGCTATTAATACTTGGTCTTGAATAAAAAGTATTGAGTACATACGATTATTTACTAGTATCGGAAGATCCCTAACATCCCTAGCTTTACTCTTTGCCTTGTGTTCAGGAGCAGTTTAGGAGTCAGTGTGCGATTTTTGGAATTTGCTATTTTTCAAATAATATTTTAATTATGTATCTGTAAATCCAGAATAGATTTTATTTTGTACGTTTACAAAAAATACCGTATCAGAAAAAAACATTTAGTATAACCCAAGTATAACCTCTAACAAAGTGACATGCCACTTTCTATGTGCAACCCAAAGTAAAAAGCGAAACACTGGATCCTGGCGATATCCACAAGGGCAACGCCATCAATTTAAAAGAATAAGGAGAACCCAAATTTCAAACGTATTTAAGACATTAGTTTGAAGAAAATAAAAGTTTGAAATGGCTGATAAAATAAGGTATATAAACATATCATTTGCTTATGAAACGAACAAAGAACAATAATCATTCTATGGCTGCTTTCACATGTTAAAAGTTTTCGTTGTTGTTTGAGTTTAATCATATTTCATAATTAGAAGACATTAAAACCTATTTCATTTCTCTATACTTGCTAGCATGTTCATAGTTCACAACCTATAAAATATCCAAAGGAGTAATACATAACTTGGTAATCGAATGTAGTACATGACTTTTATATACCTTGCTCATAAATTTACTCAATCCTTATCATATATATACTATTAAGTTAAGTATAGAGAAAGATAGAATATGGCAATAGTTATGATTTTGTCCAAATTAAAAACAAAAGTTCAGAGTAGGTAGGTAAGTTATAGTTCCAACCTTGTTTACAATAACTTGTAGATCCATCTGTTTTGATGAAATTTTCAATGTGAATAAATTTATTAAAACTTACTTTCATAACTATAATTCCACAATCAATTTTCAATTATTGGTTTGAAAATCATGATTTTTCCATGACACTTAGCTTTCATTACTTAATTTGTATGTCATTATCATTATCTTTGTTAATGCAAGTTTTTTGGTTATATTTGCATTTTAATTCAGCTTTATAATTATGGAAAATTAAGTTTTCATCTATACTTCTATACTTCCAATTAGTTTATTAATATTTTTTTTTTTCAGGGTCAAGTCAAACTTTGATGTAAAGGGTAATTATGAACCTTCTGATTCAGAGGAAGAATATTCAGATACAGAGAAAAAACTTTTGGATAAAGTACGTAAAAGAAAACACAATGAAGACGATAGCGAGGAGGAAATGTATGCTTTTTCAGAGTCTGATGATGATTTGGATAAGAAGGAAGATTTGGGATTGGCCGATAGTGACATAGAAGGTCAGGAAAAATCTGATGATGATTTGCCAGATTCCAAAGCATGGGGAAAGAAAAAAGGTATGTTTTACGCTACCGATTATGTTGATGAAGATTATGGAGGATTTGGTGATGATGAAGAAGCTGCCCTTCTGGAAGAAGAAGAAGCAAAGAATATTCAAAAACGACTTCTTGAACAGCTTGGTGATGAAGATTTCACTTTAGATTTTTTTAACAAACAGCTAGCGGGTGAGGAACAAAAGGAAACTGTTATTAAAAGTGACCTAAGCCAAATGTCCAAAAGACAGAAATTACAATTACTTGAAAAAGAAAGTCCTGAATTTGCAGGACTTATTGAGGACTTCAAAACGAAACTAACTGTTGCCAAGGATGATTTACATCCACTTCTAAAACTTGTTAAAGATGGCAAAGTTCCAAAATGTGCTGCTTCTAAATTTGTTAAGACTAATTATGATCTTATTTTAAATTACTGTACAAACATAAGTTTTTATTTACTCCTTAAAAGCCAGAAAATCAATATTCAAAACCATCCTGTTATAAAACGATTATATCAATACAGACAAATGTTAAACAAAATGGAGCCTATATTCCTAGAAGTTATTAAACCACAAATTGACAAAATATTAACTGCAGTGCATGATAATTTAGAGCTTCATGTCACTAGAGGCAATAACACAGAGATGAATGAAGGCAGAAAACGCAAATTGGAAAGACAGGTTTCGGAATCATCTGCCAAAAAACTGAAACTTATCAATACCTTAGAAAAAGATGATGGTGAAGACACTGGTGTTTCAGATGATGAAGAAGAATATGAGGGTAATGATTTCTTCAAATCTGAAGATAAAATTTGTGAATCTAAAAATAATGATCAGTCTGAAGAAAGTGGTTTTTCAGATAATGATAACTCACCCAACGATATAGAAGAAAATAAACCTTCAACATCATCACAATCTTTGGATATTGTCCCAGATGATATAGGAGATAAGAGAGAAATTACGTATCAGATTGCTAAGAACAAAGGTCTTACACCTCACAGAAAGAAGGAACAGAGAAATCCTAGGGTTAAACATAAACTTAAGTACAGAAAGGCAAAGATAAGGAGGAAGGGAGCTATACGTGAACCCAGGACTGAGGTCACTAGGTATGGCGGGGAATCATCAGGAATTAAAGCAAATGTTAAAAAGAGCATTAAAATCAAATAATTTTACAAATTCAGTATACATTATTGTATTTATTAACAAAACATTGTGTAACATTTTAATTTTCTTATTAATCTTATTTATACCATTTCTTAATGTTGCCACCTGAAACAAATAAAATGCATATGAGCTTATATCAAAGACTATGTATTACTAATATTAGATAAGCTGTGTGGTACTGTAAAATTACTCTCCAAGTTGTTATGTTTAAATACACATCATTTATAGCCAGTTGCACAAATATTCATAAAGATTGTCATTATTTTAAAGCGACAATAACTTCATGGACGTTTGTGCAACTGACTATTAGTTAATTGTGAGCAAGCTTCCTTTTTGAGTATTTTTTTCTTTCTTCACTTTTAATTTTTTTAATAAATTATTTAATTTCAGTCATTATGTAACTCTTTGGTGCTGATATTCGGAACAGATATTCTGAGACGTACTTAGTGGCATCCGTCAGGCTGGCAACGAGCCGCCATTTTGATTTTCAAATGAATTCTTGACCCAATTATACATGAAAAACTTTCAGCCGTACATGAAAAAAATTTCGTACAATGACCCGTATTACATATCTCTTTCACTTGTGCGCAAACATAATGCCATTGCGCTCGCAAAGATACACCTAGCCGATTAAGTCAAAGAAAAGTGAACCAAAAAGGTTTACGTTATCTATAAGTAGGCACAAATTCAATGTACGAAATTCTTTTTGTTCGGCGACCGTACCATTATTAGTCCGTTACGGATATGCTGTATCCATACTATATAAAAAATCGTAGATCTGAAATAACAATAAATAAATAAATTTTCTTACAATTTCAAAACTTTATCTTTCCCTCCGGATGCAACATATGCGCCATCTGGGGACCAATCTACCGCATAAACCTCATCAGCATGGCCAGGCAAATCCAACTCCAACTTTTTAGTTTTCATACTCCATACTAAAAAGGACAGTACATTTTTTATTAAAATAAATGCCATTCACGTCAAGTGTGTTCACTGAAAATTTTTAAATATAATTACATCCTGGTATAGTGTAGTATTACATATTAGGTTGGGGAAATAGTATGCATAAGCTTGTTATAAAATCTTTCTGGTTATACCATTTGTAGGTATCTGGTTGGTTTCAGTATCACGAAAAAGTTTAAATTGTAAAGAAGATAACTCTGACTTCATATTAGGAGAATGTGTGGTTTTCATTTTTTTTCTACTGTCAAAAGCGAATCTAATGAAGAAATTCGATACATTTTAAAATTTTATTACAAGATAGGTAAAATGCAACTTCTGACTTTTGTGGATCTAATGCAGTTCTGTGTGAGTAGCACAAATACGTTTTAAACGATTTCAGTCCGGAAGTTTTGATGTCAAAGATGCACGTCGCTTCGGTCGCCGTGTTAAAAATGGAGAGCGTTTTTGAAAAAGTGGAGCAAGATCGGCATTTCAGTAGTTACGACGTAGCTAAAGAACTGGAGATTGACCACAAAATACTTTTGGTGCATTTGAAAAAAGGTGGGTACACAAAAAGTTGGATATTAGGGTACGTTAGGAGCTCACTGAAAGAAACCTAATGAACCGTGTGTACTCATTTGTGATTTTTTTATTACGGCGTAATGAAATGTTCTGTTTTTGAAGAAGCTGATTTGGCTGAGAGGTGTTAATGCATTCGCCGTATAATCCTGACCTTGCACCTTCAGATTTCCACCAGTTTCGGTCTCTTTTGAATTCTTTAGGCAGTGTCAAGTTAACATCACGCGAGGACTGCAACTTGTGGTTTTTTGATCTCATGTCCCTATCTACAAGATGGCAAAAAGTTATCGAACAAAATGGTGCTTACATACTTTATCAAAAAATGGTTTGAATTTTCATTTCAAATTCGAAGAAACCTTTCCCCCAAAATCATCATCATCGTCATCATCACTTCAGCCGAGAGACGCCCACTGCTTAATATTATAATTATAATTTGCCTGGTTAAGAAATGGAATAGTGATGATGACGACTCATTTTTGTTTGTTTTTCCGGCAGGTAGATCTTTTAAAAATATTTATTATTTTTTAATTGTGATCATTAAATTACGACGATACATTGAGTTTAAATGTCACATAACGTCACGCTTTAGGACAGGGGTGTCAAACTCGATTTTGCAAAGGGTCATATATTAAATTTAGAATGTGTAGGCGGGCCAGATTCAAACAAAAAATGTACTGAATTAATATAACAGTTTATTTATTTCATTATATAGTATATAATATACGGCTGTTAAAAATCATATCAAAGTTATAGAAGAGGGTAATTATTTTGAGCTTGAGGATCCAGATACCTGACTTCTCTTATTTTTGACAAGCTCATTGAAGTCAGGTATCATATTCGTTGTAATTATTTTAAGAAAGGAGATGTTCAGTCGTAATTCTAGTACGATGTTTGTTCTTATTTATTTTCATAAATATTGTCCGATTGAAGATCTATCAACTCCATTTGCAAATGAACTGGTGCCTGTGAAGCTTCAAAATTGGATGGATTGTTTAAAATTGGGCATTCCATAATTCTTTATTCATGCCAAAAATAAAATAAAATATTTTTTTTTTAATAAACTTTTAGATTTTTTACCTGATTTACCCACAGCCTCAACTTTGTTTCAAGGGCTTGAATACATGAATACATTTGAGTGACAATCAGATTTTTACCTTGTAATTTTACATTCAGATCAGTCAAGTGTTTATTCATAACTACCAAAAAGGCACAATCAATCCACCAGTCATTGTCATAGTCATAGGTTGCCTTTTTCTAACATGAAAGCTTGAATAGGGTCACGTTATGCAAAAAAGCTTTCTAAAACTACTCCTCGAATGAGCCAACAAACTTCTGTGAAATAAGGGACATCAGAAAACTTTTCGTCCAAATCTTGTAAAAACTGCCTGAACTGTCGATGATTTAGTCCTCTGCTCCTTATAAAATTTACTATTTTAATTATAGTATTATAATAATGTATTTTTTTGTACTCAGTGAAAATGCTAGCCCAACTATGTATATGTATATTTTTGAAAATTATATTTATACGACTCATGTAAGTGAATGTTAAATTCTAATGAGCTAAATAAAGATTTTAAACCACATTATTACCTTTTAATGTAGAATCAGCACTTGAACTGAGCAACAGCCTAGAGTCTGCGGACCAAGCCACCATATAAACAGCTTGCACATGCCCTCTTAAAGTGGTAATAAATTTCCCAGTAACTCCTTCCCATAACTTAACAGATTTATCGAATGACGCCGATGCAATTATCCTTTTGAAGAGAAAATAAAAATTAATCATTATATTTTTCAATAAAATAAAAGAAATATTATTAATCTATAAACGCAGTTAATTATAAAAACTTGACAACTTAAACTTAGAGGTCTAGTAGTTTTCCCGCGGCTTCGCACGCTTATATTATAGCCTATCTCAACCCTGTACGATGTGGGTAGTTACACACTGTGGTAAGTGAATTTTTTTTTAAAATCGATCCATTACTTTCGAAGCCTATTCGATGCAAACAAACAAACAATCAAATCTTTCCTCTTTATAATAATATTATTATAGATGACACTAGACAGCGTCGGGTTGGAGCAGAGCATCATTCATACAAATACCTATAATTATGTAATACTAGCTTACCGCCTGCGGCTTCGGTTCAGTTATTATAGCCTTTCGTAGCAAAGTCCAGAAAACTGATACGGGAAATTATGTTTGTTTGCGTTGTTTAAGGTTTTGGGACGGAATTTTACCAATTACTAGTACACATACAATTCCGATAACGAATTAATAATAAATGATATAAGTCCTTTGACAATAACAGGATTTAACAAACGGGTAGTGTTAAAGAGATTTGTATGTACTTCTATACCAATGTTTATCTCCGATTTCCGACCCCATGTAAGCCGAAATTTCTACCTTAATATTTATTTACTGTTTATACAGGAAATAGCCTAACATACAAAGTTTAATGTTTTTATCATTCTATGATGATGACAACACTTCATACAAAATTTTCATCTCTTTAAGTTTTTCGCGATATAAATATTCAAGTTTCACATGACCTGTGTACCAAATTTCATGAACCTAGGCGTGAAAACGTGACAGACAGACACTTACAGCCAAGAGTTACTTTCGCATTTATAATATTACTAGCTTCCCGCCAGCGGCTTCGCCTGCGTGGTCTAGTATTCTGTATATCGATGAAAAACGCATTTAATCCGTTGTGTAGTTTTAAAGATCTCAGCGTACAAACACCGGGAAGCGACTTTGTTGTATATTATGTATAGACCCACGCACAGCTTAGACCTAGATACGGTCTAGTGTGATTCATCCATAAAACGTTACCTTGTATCTGGGGAGAATTTAACATCATTTACAAGCTGCTGGTGCCCCGTCATGCGTGCCAAAGGTCTCTTCTCCTTTTCAGGTAGCCAAAGGAATAGAGTGAAGTCGTCAGAACCTGAAATTAGGCGCTCACTTCCTTGGGAACACACTGCGTCGTACCTCTCACGAGCGCGTTGCTGAAGGGCCATTTCTTAAAAATTAATAGTATTATAGTTATTGACACGAACAAAAAGTATTCGATATAGCTAAAAGTTGAATAAAGCCTGTGTTATATTATAACCAAAGGCCGGTCCTTTGGTTATCCCAGATAAAATAACACAGGTTCTGAATTGAGAAAAGTACAATAGTTTGGGGATTTGTGACATGAGCCAATTCTTTAAAACGAGTGTTTTAAATAATTTCTTAATTCTTCTAATTTTTCTGTTACAATGTGTTGATGGTAATGCAAATAAAGTTTATTGTTATAAAGCAAGACAAAACAAAAAGAGAATTAATGGATAATTCATAAGACAAAAGAAGCTATAAATTATTATTACTGACTATCTGTGATAAGTCCATTCTGGTCTGTAACTGGATGAAAAGGTCCTGTCCGAAGTACATAGTCTGTGCTTAGAGCCAAAGTGTTGACCCAATGAGCATGTCCTTCTAGTGTCCTACAAAGAATTCCGTCATCAGCTCTCCATACCTAAATTAATTCAAATTTATATATTTTTATTAAATATAATATATTATAAAATTAAATGCAATAAAACTTTTTATGATAATTAATTACCATTACCTTGACAGTTCTGTCTTGAGATGATGTATATATCAAACCAGTGCCACCCCATTTAACTGAAGTGACCGCTTTTGAATGGCCCGTCAAACTTAAAATAGTGAGTCCTGTGACCGTATCCCATATTCGTACATCTCCATCCTTTGATGAACTTGCTAATTTTCTGCATTCAGGATTTCTGTTGAATTATGATGTCTTTATTATTAAACAATCGGAACTATTATAAATTCTCAGTGTAATAGAGATTGAGCTGGCACTGCTGGTGCATCACATAAATTTGTGCTTTAAAATTAGGAATAGTTATTCTGCACTATACATTAAGATAAAATTAGTAATATATTTTTGATTCTGAGATCCAAAATGCCAACATTTACCATTATAAGCAAATATCACAGATAAAATGTAATAGTGCCCTTAACATAACTGATTCATATTTACACAGACAAACATAATATACTATTTCTTTTAACAATTGTTTTGATATAAAAAGGCTAGAGATATTTACATGTGATATGGTTCCCATGCTAATGCTGTCACCCACTGCTTGTGTCCGATCATGGTTTTCCCTATTTGGTTTCCTGTTTTAGGGTCCCAAATCATTATCCTTCCTTGTTTGCATGCTGAAGCTAGTTTGGAACCATCTGGTGCCCAACTTATACATAATACCCAATTTGAATGACCTAAAACACATGTTATTTTGAACAAGAATCAAATATTTTGCATTCCTGTAAAATTGTGTATATCATGCAACATTACAAAATGCATTGTTTTTTTACATTATAAAATACAGGATAGATGACCTCAATATAGGTTTCTACTACTACTCTCCACTCCACTACCAATCTCTAAAATAAAAAAATTTCATTTGGTTTTTTTAACATCAAAGAAATATAATATAGTATACAGGAGAATTCTCCTGTACACTTTAATATTATAATTTCATTTGCATTAACTTAATTTATATAAATGCAGTTCGACAGGACTAAAACTAAATTTACTCTAGAGGTAGGGTAGAAGGCTGTTTTTGTCCATTTAGTGGAGTTCTCAACTTTAACCATAAAAATATGAATGTTCCGGCAAGTAATCTGTTACCAAAAAAATGGTGGTAACTCCAAATACCTATACAGTCTATTTTTAACTATTGTAGTTATAATTTTTTTTTATATTAAATTATAACGTGATACTGTCGATTTAACTGAATCATATTATGAATTTGATTTTTAAAAAGTTCCATACATTTTAAGACAAATAATTCTTAATTGGACGTACCATCCCACTTTTCGACTGTCTGGTCGAAAACTGATTGTTTTAATAAAAGTTAGTCCCTTTATTTCACCTCATTTGAATAGTTTGGTAATGAAATTTACGTTAAAATCTAATTTGCCCACATAAAAGAGGTCATAAACTAGCTACAAAAGCAATAAATAAACTGAAATAACCTAAGAATAAATAGAAACTTATCTTCAAAGTATTGGCACCTTACTATTTTTTTTGCTAACATATGACACGTGTGACGCTGTCTGCTGCAACCCTCAGATTTATTAGTTAGTTTTAGCTTAAAGCTTCGTTTAATAGTATAAGTATGTGTATATGAGGGTTATTAGTATATCCAGGTTACCATGTGCTTAAGTTTTGGAGACTTGAGAATATCATCTTTACAGAGGACTGTTAAATGGTTGAAAATGGGATGTGGACAGACAGGGAACAGGGACAATCACCTTACCATTTGACAATTACCTTGCTATTTGAAAAAGAATCAATTTATATGTAGATTTTTTTAAACAAGTAATAACTAAATCATAATAGCAATTACCATTTTAGTAAACTATAACAAGTAACAACAAAACTTAACAATAACAATTGAAACCAACAAAAACATAACAAAACTGATGTGATCTCAGCACAAACCAATTCAATAATTACTAGTCAACCAGAGTTTATTAGTTAATGATATTGATATTTGAATCCAATTATGTCATCAAAATGGTGATAAGGTATATTAGCAATTTGCGGGGATTATACCACTATCTATCATAATTATAAAATATACAGTCTGTAATTCTATTGTAAAAAAACTCAGTATTGAGAATATATACTATTATCACTTCTCTCATTGATATGACTTACATTTAATTGCCCTTAGATTTTTTAGCTGAGTTATCTTGCTATCTATTTGTTTTATCTTTGACATAAAACAAGTATTTGATTCTAAAATGACATAAAATATGACTCTCTTTACCTTTACATACATGTAAGGGAGTTTGTGTATGTAAATCCCAAAACCGAACAGTTGTGTCTCCTGATCCACTGGCTAATTCTCTTCCCGATGGACTGAAACTCGTAGATATAACTGCTTCAGCATGGCCTGGGATAGAACTGCACTTACATTGAAATAAAACACTAATATTTATAGTTTTTTTAACTATGGTCAGAAAACATACCTTGTACATCTAGTGACTGGTCTTACTCTAAAGACAGCTTGTTGTTGATATATAATTTCTATAACTTCTTCAGAGTTTAATTTACTCAAGTCTAAAGCTTCCTTTAGTGAGGAAGAAATTTCAACATCTTTTACAAAAAACAGAAATTGTTTGTCATCCTGGAATCAAAAAGAATGGAAATATTTAATTTGTATTATTTTCTATTATTAAACTTATCAAGTAATGTAAAGTTAAAAAGTTTATATTACTTCTTGCAAAAGTGCATTGCAAATAAGTTGTAGTTGATCTTTTGTAACGTTCAAGGGCAAATCTAATGAATTGCCAATTTCCTCTCCTGTGTCCGATTTAAATTTGGCTTGCACAAAGTTTGGTAAGTCTGGATCCATTTTTTCTAAAATAAAATATTTGAATTCACATGAAAGAAGCACATTGGTGTGCACCAAAGAATAAAGTATAAAGTGTCAAGCGCACGTGTAGTGGAGGCTGCAATATTCAAAGAGTAAAATATTCCTATGCAAATGGGCAATGATATATCGATTAATCGATAAAAATCGATATATTATTATAATGACTCAAAAGTCAGGCAAAGTGCTGGCATTAGAAACAAAGTAAACGTAAATATAAAGATATACTAATTTCTTCATTAGAAACGTTATGCCTGAGTGACACTGACTACATATTATAGTTTTAAGATTTTTCTTTGATTATAGCTAAAAATAGCGTCTCTAATGATATGCTATAATTTTTATCAGTTAAGTAATTTAAAACTAGTAATAAAGAAACCCAAATACATTAACCCTAAACACAATACACTCCATTTTTGTGCAGTCATGTAAAAGTCAAAGCACTTTTAATACCCTGAAAAGAAATCCCTTTACAATGAAGAATGTTAACTAATTTTTATTATTAGCACTCCATTTTCTCTGTCAAAAATAAAAAAATACTAGTAAAAGAATTACTTCGATACATCAATTAGTTTCCGATTTAGAAGTAAAATAAGTTGTGACCGCACGACGCGGGCTGCCGGTAACGGTGTGACGTCATTGCACAACACGCTCAGCCTGGCTCACTTAGTCCACTCACAGTCGCGCGCCCGTACCGTCGAAATTTTACCTAAATACTTTTAAAAATGTTCAATCCAAATACTAGGAAATCATGTGTTGTGCCTAAATATAAAAATACAACTACTAATTCGCCGAAAAAGTTGTTTTTTACAGACATCTTTATGATAAATAGACATCTTTTCAAATTCTTATTTTTCACATATAAAATGTGAAAGAGAACACTGTATTTGAAGCTCTCTAAGTTTTAATGCTATTTTGTCAAAAAAAAAAAATTTTCATTCTGATCGGCTAAATGAAGTGTTTTACCAAATCTTTAGCTATAGGGCGCTTGTGCACTACACTGAATTTTCATGTCCGGCGGTCCGATTTTTTCAGGTCCGATATGTCAGGCCATATGTAGGTAATGCGCGCTTGTGCACTGTCAGGAATTTTACCGTCCGGAATTTTACTTTTCTCTATTCCGGACCGGTTTTTTCAGTTCCGTGATGGCAGCAATGAAAAACGTGTTTACGCTTGTGCACTGCTGTGTCCGAGATCCGGAAAATTCATAAGGAATAGGCTTGGGAAAAAATAATCGATTTGAATCGATATTTATTTCGGCAATATAGCTAATTTCCAATAAACTTATAATCGATAGTTATTGTTGATTATAAAATGCTATATTTTATATGATGATTCAATATAGTTGGTATATATCACAACTCGGTAAAGTTCTAATTTGATCAGCGTATGGTTCTAGTATCGATACTTAGCTAGATTTTAGAATCGTATTAAAAGTATCGATAGCTTAAGGTAAGATAAATAAGTGTTGTTACGCTTAGATGCCTAAACAACTGAACCCATCTAAATGGAAATTAATATAGTAAATAGACTTAACTCTAAGAAAGGTCATAGACAAGGCTACATTTTATCGCGAAAAATAGGGGATGAAAGTTTGCCTGGAAATCTGTTATTATCAATTTTTTTTTAGACAATTGATAAGTATAGATAAATATTCGACAACAGAAGTAATAATAAAGAATAAACAGAAGATTTACAACAGTAATTAAGTGACACTCAATGTCTTTTTCGCATTTAATAAAATTGTTTGTGTCATTAATAAATTTTAAAAAAGAAGTATTCTAAGGGAAAAATATTTCTGCTCAAAGAAACTACACCACGCGTATAAAAATTATGCCTATATATAATACAGTCAACTGATCTCGTAAAGTTCATTTAGCATAATAATTCTCCGCTAACACGTCACTAATTTCGATTTGTTTACGAAATGGCGCCACCGAGTGGTCTATCTCTGTAATCGCTGAAAGTTGTTTTTACAAAACTTCGAAAAAAAAATAGCACGTTTAAAAATTTAAACATCAAGTACTAGACCATTATCAGTAATTTTATTCTAATGTCACAGATATTTTTAGCTATTGTATGTGAATAATGCTGTTCCTAAATAAGTAAGGGTATAAGTTTTACATCTGATAGTAGTCATCCGATAGCAGTAAAAAAAATGCATTCGTCTTGCCATAATTTATTATGGTTTATGTAAAACGATCAGATCATTATTTAGGTACCTTTCTACGTCTTCGAACGGAATTACCGACGTTCCAAAAATCTCATCGTACCTAGCGTAAGTGGCGTGTAGCTTCAAAGAGAGCTGCACTACACTGCGCCGCTCCGATCAGGAAAAAAACGGACAAGTGCACAAGCTACTCATCCGAGTTTTTCATGTCATTCCGGACCGGAAAAAATCGGACCGCCGGACCTGAAAATTCAGTGTAGTGCACAAGCGCCCTTAATCTTTTTATTAAGATTTTTTCCAATAAGACTTGGTAGCAGTCGTTGAAGGCTCCTCGCTTCGACGATGTATCCACATTTAAAAATGCTACAGTTTGTTTACAGCCACCTCTGCTGGCGGCACAATCTTCGCAGGTTACATTTAATACTTCTTGAATCTTTTCATTGCATTCTAAACTGCAATGATAAGGTGTGGTACGTACGCGGTGTTCTGGCGTGATTCTACATTTAACTGTACATACATCACCTACTCTTTTAACTTGAACATAACCAATAGCAACAAACAGCTATGGCAATGGCCAATAGCTGTTTCTTGCCGATCTGAAATAAGTTTCAAATTAAAAAAATTGCCTTAAGTATTTTGTTAGTAAAAAAAATACTAATAAATAAAAAAGGTTTAGTACATCTGTTCAAACATCTACATTTGCAATAATAAATAATTTAATAAAATGGCCTTACGTATTTTGTTAGTAAAAAACATACAAATAAAAAAAGGTTTAGAACATCTGTAACGTTCAACCCACTTTATTTACATCCTAGGTACCTATCCTACTTCCTACTAATATAATAAATGCGAAAGTTTGTGTGTGTGTTTGTTTGTTATCTTTCACGCAAAAATTACGGAACAGATCTGGACGAAGTCTGGAATAATCACATAGGCTACTTTTAATCCTGGGAAAATGTACAGCTCCCGAGGGAAACGAGGGCGAAGCTGCTGGCGGAAGCTAGTTTGCAATAAGTAAATGTATGTATTTATTTAAGTTTACTAATAGCGGTACCTATATATACATACGTACCTATCTATTGCTACAAATATATAATACATATTTGTCTTTAACGTATATAAGGTAGGTAGGTACTTCTACTATTTGAGTTGCATTTTACATTACGACATTAGTTGCGTATTTTGTTTTAATAAAACAATTTAGAACAGATAAACTATTAAGCATAAGTAGTAGCAAGAAAAGTTTACTTACCTATGCATTTTTATTCTTCGCATTTCGGCGGCAATGAAATTACTATTTGCGCAACCTTTAATCCATCTATTTTAGGTAGATTATCCGATTTCCCTTTTTCGAATCCTTCGTCTATTTTATTAATCGAATAATATTAATATTATTAGACTATTAACTTAATACACGGGCGAAAACACAACAAAATACTGCGCAAGCTATTACACCTACTATAACCGCTGGCGACTTGATACTAAGCGGGACGCGGCGCGTTGTGACATGACGTCACAAGCGGTCACGTGGCTGTTAGCGGGATTCGATATTTTTCGAAAATTTGAATGCATATAAAATCAAAATTACTAGTTATTTTTGACTACAACAAAAACTAGTGTATTTATATACATAAGGGCTCTATTGGGACAAAATTTCAAGTGATTTGACATACCTAGTAACATTCTTCATTAAAGCATAGTCTTAACCCCAGGTACATGCCAACGGCTGTGGCAAACACCTTTCGAGGCAACTCATCATGCATGCCTAGTCGACGCTAGACTTAGTAAAGCTTAAATGAGGAAGTATTTAAAAAATAAAAATTAGTTTTAAAAATCATACTAGATGTTGCTCGCGATGTTTGGATTTTGTTTATGATATTCATTCAAATTTTGTTTCTGACGTAATAAAAGTAAATTGAGTATCGAAAATTAATAAATATGACACCGTTTTGTGTTTCTTATAATATCTAATTTTAAAATTAATTTTTATTTATTTTAATCGTAAGTTTAAGTTGTTTATTATGTTACGTGTAAAGGAACGATGTTTGGTTTATACGTCAACATTAGTGATGAGCCAACTTGTTGGTTGCTCGTAACTTTCATCCGAATTCAGGCTTGGGAACAAAAAGCGGAGCGCAGTATTCAGCTTGTATTTGTATGTGTCATTATGCATTCACAAAACGAATGATATTAATATAAATATCAAAATCAATTCAGTCTAGGGTGTTACATAGTACTAGAGAAAGTCGAAATCTCGGCAAAAACCCAGCAAGGGCGGCTTTTTTAATTTCAACTATACTATATTTGAGGGAACGTAACGACCTAACGTACACGACACCACCGCAGAGATTTTAAGAGAGCATAACTACTCCAGGTACTTAGTAAATAATATATTTTAATAAAACTGATTTCTAGAGTAGGTTGAGTAGGGAGTCAATCTATTATTAACAATATTTTTGTAAGAACCAAAAACCACATACCTACCGTTCGAATTAATTTAACACATGGCTTGACGTCCGCCGTCGACGTCAAGATCAGTAGCGATAGTATAATAACTGTACATGTCTTTGCGATTTTAAAATTTAAAACAAGGACGTTTCTTGTTGATTGCTGAATGTTTATTAAGACGATTTAATTATAAATATAAGATTTAATAACTGATCATAGTTTTTTAAAGTCTTAATTTCGAAAACAAGACATTTGCACGTTTCACTTAGCACAAACGTCATTTTAGCCAGAAGTTATGCTATTTTGTACGAATACCTAGTATATTTGATACAAATCGGGTAAGTATATACTTAACATATTTTTTAAAACTATTATTATATCGTTTTTATGACTTTTGTTGCTGATTAATAAACCCTATTCATTCATTCACTATACATAATATAAAAATATTATTGAGACTTGATGTAGTTTTGTTGTTGTAAGTTCAACGAACAACTAATAGCAATAAAACTAACTTACCTAGATGGTATTTTTTTCAGAACTTTTGTTAAATATAACAATGAAAAATTCCTAGACCTACTATGGCATAAATATTTTATAAAAACTATTTGGCGGTAATATTATTGTAAGCCGTAGCTAAATGCCACTTTTAAATATATCACAGCATTGATTTCCATAAATTTACAAAACCTCAGTGCTCACTTTCATTATGTTAGTTTCTATTTTCCTCTATACAAATAAAATAGGAATTTATTCAAAGATTACTTTGTATTAATCGAGTTGCGCTGCATAACACAAACTTCAACTCGATATTATTCCGAGTAATTCTATTCTCTTTAGATCCAACAATTTGTGCTGCCATCTAGTGACATAAATTTTTGTAGTTTATTTTTTTTAAATACTCCCTCTTTGTGCTTATAAATGTCAGCCATCGTCTCATTCCCTCATTCCACAAATCACATTCACTCATTTCATTCATTCATCTGTCATCTACGGTGTGTCAATCGAATGATATCTACGTGTTATGTTTATTAAAAAATCATATTTGAGGTAATTGAGCAGTTTCTTTAAAATGAAATTTCTTTATTTCTTGTTTATGTGCTGGACTATAGTGAAATGTGACGAACATACCCATACCTATAAAGATGGAGAACAAGTAGTGTTATGGATGAACACTGTCGGACCATATCACAATCGACAGGAGACGTACGCTTACTTTTCGTTACCGTTTTGTGTTGGTACAAAAGTAACAATTGGACACTATCATGAGACATTATCCGAAGCATTGCAAGGCGTGGAGCTGGAATTTAGCGGTCTTGATATTACTTACAAAGATAATGTGCCGGCGCAACAATTTTGTGCTATAGAACTCAATGAACAGTCTTACAAGGCTCTCGTATACGCTGTGAAAAACCATTATTGGTATCAGATGTATATTGATGACCTCCCAATTTGGGGTATTGTTGGAGAGATTGATGGCGACCAATATTACATTTGGACCCATAAAAAGTTTGATATTGGTTACAACGGAAACCGAATTGTGGAAGTTAATTTAACTGCTGAAAATAAAGAACGACTGACACCCGATGCAAAAATACCATTCACCTATGAAGTTAATTGGAAGAAGAGCAATATACGCTTTGAAGATAGATTTGACAAATATTTGGATCCTAACTTCTTTCAACATAGAATACATTGGTTTAGTATTTTTAATAGCTTCATGATGGTGATATTTTTAGTAGGTTTAGTTTCTATGATCCTCATGAGGACACTAAGGAAAGATTATGCTAGGTATTCTAAAGATGATGATCTTGATGACCTAGAAAAAGACTTAGGGGATGAATATGGTTGGAAACAAGTACATGGTGATGTTTTTAGACCTGTTCCTCATTTAGCGATTTTCTCAGCACTAGTAGGATCAGGATATCAATTGACAGTGGTAACATTAGCAGTCATTATTTTTACAATATTTGGTGAACTATATACTGAGAGGGGATCTTTATTGTCTACAGCTATTTTCATCTATGCGGCTACATCCCCAGTAAATGGTTACTTTGGTGGTTCTCTTTATGCTAGAATGGGTGGAAAGTTGTGGATAAAACAGATGTTGCTCTCTGCATTTTTACTGCCTGTTTTGGTCTGTGGAACAGCTTTTTTCATTAACTTTATTGCCATGTATTACCATGCTTCTAGAGCTATACCATTTGGAAGTATGATAGCTGTGATGTCAATCTGCACTTTTGTCATTTTGCCTTTGACTCTTGTAGGTACAGTACTGGGTAGAAACTTAGCTGGCCAACCAGATTATCCTTGTCGTATTAATGCTGTGCCCAGGCCTATTCCTGAGAAGAAATGGTTCATGGAACCTTTAGTTATCATTGTTATGGGTGGTATTTTACCCTTTGGTTCAATCTTTATTGAAATGTATTTTATTTTTACTTCATTCTGGGCTTATAAAATTTATTATGTGTATGGATTTATGTTGTTGGTCTTCTTGATTTTGATGATCGTAACAGTGTGTGTTACTATTGTGTGTACTTATTTCCTACTCAACGCTGAAGATTATCGTTGGCAATGGACAAGCTTTTTGTCAGCTGGTAGTACAGCTATTTATGTTTATTTTTATTCTTTCTATTACTTTCTGTTTAAAACCAAGATGTATGGTTTATTCCAAACTACTTTTTACTTTGGATACATGTTTTTGTTTAGTTTAGCTCTAGGTATTATATGTGGGACTGTGGGATATTTAGGCACTAGTATATTTGTGAGAAAGATCTATTCAACTGTGAAGATTGATTGAAACAAATAATAACAGCAATGGTTTTAATCATCTTTGCGATTGATTCTCGCATGTGACACAATTTATAATTGTTTATTTTAATCATATGTTCATTCACTTATTCTAATCACATCATAATTATATATATTAACAGTATAAATATAGTAAGAAAGTGAAGAAGTAATTTATCATAAATATACTTTAAACTGTTGTGTGTAAACAGAAAGTAATTTAGATACATTCCTGAAATTTATACAAAATGAGGCAGCCATCCAATTAGAGATAGGCAAATATTTTTGTTACAAAAATTCATTGAACATTGATAATTATTACCATTCATTATTTTATGATCTACTTAGTGAAAATATAGCAATACATTTCTTATTTTAAAAAATAAATTTATTGAATATATGTGAGACAAATATCTGTAAATTAGACAGTATTTATTTTAATACCTAAGCTTCATCATATCTTTGTTTGTTTAAAAAAGATTATAATCTTTACTATATGTGAGATGGAAATGAATGAATCTTTTTAACTGAAGATTTTATAGATATTATTAATTATGTTTGTGCTGGTAACTTTAATAGGTATGCTCATTATATTGTTATTTATAGTAGTATCATCACAGATGCATCAGTTTAATTTTTGTAAATATTTCAGTTTACTTATGATGCACTATTTGGTATATTGTACAAAACACATTGAGAATTTTAGCTCAATGAAGGCTTATTCTTTATTTTAGGAGTGTTTGAAATTGTTAGTAATTTTTAGGTAATGATCTTGTTTGGGACTCGAGGTCATCTATATTATGTAAATATTAAGAAAGATTAAATGAAATATGGATTACAGACTGTCATGAACAATCTCCGTTACTGTCATGGTATACACAAACCTTAAATGGAAAAATTTGTCAGTAGTTCAAATAAGATGAAAAAATCTTAAGTAAAAATCTTAATAATACTTTAAAATCTTGACCAACTGTTTTGTAGTATTAACAACTTGAGAAAAATGCTAGTCTTGACTAACTATGCCTATTACATCTGCTTAACAAAAACTAGAATAACGAATTGCATATGTAACGAAGAATGTTTGTAGCATTTAATGTGTAATTTCTTAGTATTTGAGATTAAACATTTGAATACATAGAAAATCTCTATGCCATCCAGCTATAAATAATTTTTATGTATGTCAATATTAATAAAGATTAAAGGAAACTATGTGTTTTTCTGGAAATATTTTATTTAACAATTTTTTACATGTCAACATGTTGGGTATTCAATTGAAGTGCACTTCAACTTATATTAAAACTCCACTTCCTTCACAATGAATAAAAATAATATCTGATTTTACCATAAACAAATTGTTATAACTATTAATCACCGTCAACAAATGATTCAACATCTACAGCCCCTTTCCTTGATTTTTTACCACCAGGTAAACCAGCATTAAATTTTTCTGCGGTTCTTTTCCTCAACGCAGTAATATCTTCGTTTTCATCAGTTTGATCTGCCCACTCTAAAACTAGACGTCGCCCGTACAAATGCGTTGAATGACATAAAGCTTCAAAGGCACTCTGTAATAATAAAGAAACGATATTGTTGACTATTAAGTGGAGCGCAAGCAAAACATTAATTATAATGGTGGATGTACGTTTTATATACCAACGTAGAGATTAAAATAATGTAGACAGCACATTAGGTAATAACAAATAGTAAAATTGGTGAAACTGGTTTTGAACTTTAAAATTACCAGTATAAGGTTGTTAATTGATTGGCAAAATTCACACTAGTATAGCCTCATGTGCAGACTGTATATTATAACACCAACTACACGTAGCACAAACGTCCATTAAAATTTTCATTAGTTTAAAGCGATATGACAGATACAACGTTTTAAAAATAGAATTATTAGAGCTTAAAGTCGCCATTCAACAATAATGGACGTACATATGTCTAACTGTGCGCTAGAGTTACTCTATAAAGAAATGAGTCGCTAACCAGTATATATAAAGTATGCAGGCGTATTAAACTTAAGCGACTAATATGCTTGGTCATTGAAAAAACAAATTTCCAATTAATAACGGCCAGTATGCAACATACGTGATATCACATACCATAGCCGTAGAGGAGTGAGATATCATCAATTCGGAGGTCCCGAGTTCGATTCCCGGTCAGGTCAATGTAGAAAATTAACATTTCTATATTTCTCTGTTATGGGTGATGTGGTGATCTTCATAGTATCGTATATCCGAATACTACATAATACAACGGCTTGAGCTTGTATTATGTAGTATCCGAGACTACGAAGTCTGTTCATCTTACTACGCATCTTAGAATTTGAGCAATGTTTGTGATATTGTCTAATGTGAACATAACAGGATATTAGTAGTAATTTGAAGAAATCTATCGCGTGCTTAAGTAAAAATTAAGTTTTGTAGTTAGTAGAGGAATACCTTAGCATCAGCCTTCGAATGATAGTCGACGAAAGCAAAACCGCGGTGTTGATCTGATCCAGGTGTTAATTTTTTAGGCAGTCGTAACGTCTTTATTTCTCCAAATGCCCTTAAAACATTAAACATATTTTTAGAAACTTCGTATACTTACTTTATTATTAACCCAATTCAAAATGAAATACTTTTAAACACTCAGATTAAAGCGGTTTCTAGACGATTGCCTTAGTACAAGGTGTCCCGCCGTAGATTTACGAAGCGACGGCATAGTTTCAACTTTCACAAGTGTTTGTAAGAGAATGAATAAATGATTTTGATATGATTTAATTGCATCGGTGTATGTTGACTAGATTTATTGAATTCTCTTTATTAAGTTTGTAATATAAACACAGTCTTGTCTTTTTTCTAAAGTTGTGAAAAAGTGAGAAGCTTCGAATATCGCCTAGTTAGATATACTGGTTACAATTAGAATAGATTTTTGTCAAAAGTCAAAAAATTGAGATAATAAAAAAAATCGCCATGTAAAATAGTTACATATATATATATATATATATATATATATATATATATATATATATATAATGATCTAGATATTTGGCTGAATATGAGTGCCGACTGCTAGATTACACCAATAGGTATATATCAGATTGAGATAAATTGGTTTTGTAACTAAAACGACAAACTGATAATAGTAACAAACAGTGCCTCGCTATCGCTAGTTCAGTGTTATTACAAATTAATTGAAAAGTTTTATGTTCTGATTACCTGAATATTTCATGCAGTTCATTTCGGTTTGCTTGGAATGGCACATTTCGCACCAGAATTTTCGTACCATTTTGGCCAATATCTTTACTGCTTTTTTTAGATGTCTTGACTTCGTTCCTGTATTTGAGTAAACATTATAAATTCAATAAGTAGGTTATACGCACAGTTATACGCATCGAATAGGAAGTACGTATCTCGCTAAAATAGCCAGGTACTGAGTAAATTAGGTTATATTCTATTTAGTAAAAATAACGCATGATTTGTGGCTATTTGGCAATTTTATAGACATATTAATTTCTGTTTTATTAAGACCTACCTTGTAAGGTGGATATTACTGATAACAATTTACTTTGTTAAGCAATTTTGAACTTTATTTTGTAGCAGTGAGGTTCAATACGTTTTTTGCAGAGTGAACCTTATTATTTGGTACAATTTAATGTTCTATGATAAAACTTACGTATTTCCTCGTTCAGATCTTTTCAATTCCAACTGTTTAGAGTCTAACGTCGTATTCTGTAAAATCTTGAGAGCCTCGTTTGTGTCCTGCTTTTTATAGTATTGTACAAAACCATAGCCCATAGAAAGGAAATGGCCTGGCTTTTTGGGGTCTTTCTTTTTTGCTATTGTGACACTATAGATTTTTCCTGCCACTGAAAAATGCTGTAACATACAACAAAATAATATTTACATATAACAGTAAAATAAAAAACACATACGGGTTGTAGTCTTTTTTATTTTAAAACTATTCGCAAATGTTTACGGCTCTTATTTAATATATGGAACTATTTTCATCTCAAAAAAGTGCCATCGCGCATTTTATAAAAATCTTTCTCTCCAATTTTGGGTTTAATTAAAAAGTAAAGCACAATTTACAAAAAAGTGAAGCCGCTACGAACTATGTCATTACAATAGTTATAATTAGTAATATTAATTTTTGATTTCGATCTCATGAACTATTTTAAACAAAATCACTCAAAATGCAATAATACTCTTAACATACCATCAATGTATGAATCCATAGCATATCTCTTTTAATATGGTCTTTTTTATGTGCCTGTAATTTTGTGCATTACATTGCAATATTGCCTCCCTAACTTGATACAAGTAAAGTTTCAGAGTGCGCAATTAATCAAACGATTATTGTTCCAGGTGAAAAAACGTTAACTATAATAAAACGGAACGAATATTGACCCGGCACTACCCGGACAAGCAGAAGCATTTCAATTAACCAATGGATTTCTTGATTTGCATTTTGCTCTGTACTGTAGAGCTCTGCTCTTTTCCCAATCAGTTGGATGTCTCAATCGATATTTGCTAGATAAAGCTACAATACTTCAAGATATTTAACAATTTAAGTATGACAGAGTTACTCTTCACTTACCTTTTTTAAGTCTTCTTCAGTTGTTATGAAATTTAAATTTTTTATAAACAATGTTGTGTCATTTTCTGGTTCACCAGATTCTTCTTCGATTTTGATATCTTCCTTAATTGGTTCTTTCATTTGTTTCGAAGAAACAGTTTGTTTATCTACATTTTTATTGCCTTCTTCGTTGGCTTTCACAGTTGATTTTTTACTATCGATATCAGATTCAGTAATTTGAGTAGGTTTAATGAAAACATTCTCCGGTGCCCATTCCAAATACAATGGGGAAGATTTAAATTGAGAATAAGCTAAATCATTAAAAGCTTTCTTAGCTTCAAACGGTTCTATAAAATCTACAAGTGCAGAGATGCCATGTTTTGGCATTAAGAATCTAGCTATACGACCATGTTTCTCAAATAATACTTTGATTTCATTCATTTCTGTATTTGATGGTAAATTTTTCACTAATATACAGGTTTTTGATCTTCTTTGAGCAGGCTAAAAATAATATGAATCGTAATTAATTGTTCAAAGTAGCGGGAGAACTGGTAGACATTTCCGACTAGCGTTTGAGGCATTACAAAAACTTATTCAATAGCTTGTTTGTAATATGTAAACACTAAAGATGCAGGTGGCATTAATGGCTTAAGACTTCTTGGCAGTAAAACCTTGAGTCAAAATGCTGCTCATATGTATGAAAAGAGTAATGACAGTGGAGGAGGCGAAAGGTGTACATTAAGATCGTGCCTCGTGGTGCTCAATCCTCTTACCTCGCAAGGGATCTTCTCATGAAGCGGTTTGAGGCATTTTCCAACTTTAATACCATTAAATTTAGTATTTAAGAAATAAGAAAATATTTGAGCCAAATCGCTGACTTGGATTTTTAGCTGCCAGACACTTACAAAATTATCTAGCTAGAGCATGATCAACAAGACACCACTCATCATTTTCAACTGTTTAAAAAATTTAAAAGGCCACAAGTTCATCATACTCTTTGAAGTCATCATGCTTTGAAATGTCCGTTTGACCATTCAAACTCCTCAAAACATGGTAAAGGTTGCATTTTTAGGCGTGGGAAAGTATCATAGCTCGGCAGCACTACTTTTTTCATCGCTTTATACTTTTCTGTCACTTAGAACTGCCTTTTGTTAGAGCGAGAAAGATAGCGGATGTGCGATAAAGGAATACTCAGCCGCAGTCAAGACTTGTTATACATAAAATAAAATTTAAACTTGAATATTAACAGATTTAGGCTTAAAATAAAGTGGAGAAATTTAACCTTTTGTATTATAGTAGTCTGACTCTGACGACAGTACTGTTTATAAATGTAATTGGATCTCGACAATTTATCAATAAAACGTGGTCATACCTTGCTGAATGCATCTAGATAAACGCCATTGTTTTCAAGGAAAGTTCTGGTTTCTGCAACCAGCTGTGTTTCACCAAGAGCTAATCTAACAGCAGCACTTGTGTCTAAAACATTAAAGAAATTAAGTAATTCTTTCTGGAGATAGCATATTTTATATCGCTTGAAAAATATTAATATTTTGGCTTACTTTTGTTATTGTCAGTCAATAGTTGTTCTTTTGTGGTGTCGTAATTAGAAGCGACAACATCCGCAATAGCGTTTGCTCCCAAGAATAATGAATTCCAGTTGTGTGAAGATTTTGCTTGGGCCTTCAACTTTTTTGCTTTCTTTTCCTTGAACGAAAGACCTTCTGCAAATATAAAATCATATAGATATAAAATAAGGTATATATTTATTATTTGAATTTCTTCTTCAAAAGTAACCATATAATGGAAGAGATCACTTTTAGTGATTAAGGCCGCACATTGTACGTCTCCTGTTTTCATTATATAAGTATTTGGTTTGTGTGTACAATAAAGAATATTCTATCTTTCTAAATATAGAGGTGGTAGGCATGTTGAGCTCTGTCTGTGGGCAAAAGTAGACTATAATAACTGGAGATATCAAAAAAAGAATACAACTTATTAATATCACACCATTCAGCAAAAGCGATCGGAAGCGAAACTCGAAGCGATAAGTAGAGCGGTGAACGATCTAATAGTGTTGTGAAGTGTTATTAGTGACGTGAAATAGTGAAGTGTGAATTATATATTAGGATTATTTTTGTAAATTTTTTTGTGCTAAATAAAGTCGGATTGTGAACTTAATTGGCGTTAATTTTTATCCCGAACCCTAAGTCGTAACAATATTGTGGGCATCCAATGAATTTGCCACGGACCCCGAACGGTATAGTTACGCCACTGCCTATACCACACGTACAGACTATATTGATGATTTTATGTTTACATACCATCGTCACTATTTTCCAATTTTTCCGCTTTAGCAGGTAGCAGATGGAGCATCCTGCCACAAAACACAGTGCCGTCAAGTTCCGTGTACGCTTTAACGGCATGTTCCGGCATCACAAACGTCACCGTCGCAAATCCCTTTGGCTGTCGTAGTATTTGATCGAGAGGCATATTTAATTCAGCAATAGGACCTGGAATTTATTAAATAGTTTCAAAAAGTCTATACATTAAAATATATTTTGTCGTGGAACATCAGAAATGTCATATTATATGATATCACATTCAGCCCTGCATACTTGAAAGATCCATCGCATACCTTGCCATTTGTCTATTTTGCTTATCCATACAGCCAAGGTACACTATTTACCAGACTGCTATAATAATGGTTGATATGCATTTGTTACTTTGTTTTTATTTCTCTTTTTTAGTTTTTTAGTGTTGTTCTTTTAGACCTTGTCTTTTTTTCTGTTATTTATTTGAACAATACAAAGAATTAAAATATGATAGTAAATATGTATAATGTGCTAGATTTAAATGGCAAAATAGTTTTAACTCATTGTAATGTTTATATCACATGGTAGGTACTTACCATACTTTTCAAACAAATTAGTTAGTTCATCTTCTGATATTATGTAAGGTAAATTCCTTACAAATATGCTTCCACTTTCACCTATACTTTCCTCATTATAATGTTTCTAAAAAGTAAATTTTTATTGAAATTGGTGTTCAAAGTTAATTATTAGAGTGAATAAAAGTTTTACAATTTTTTTGAATTTCTTTGTAACAACAGAATTATATTAGCTGTGCTACTATGAATAAATTGTTTAAGTATTTATTTAAGTATCATTATTTTGTGTCATAATTCAATATTACATAATGTCGAAATTATGACTAATCTTAACATTTAATTTGTTATGTGTCAATTGTTTGTTATATGCATATATAATTATTTATTTTAACTGAAATTTCATACTCATGTAAATTGTATAAAAATTACACTTAATTTTATCAGGGTTCAATAGTTTACAAATTTGATCACATTTTATTTGTTGTGGTGTTATAACAGACGTTTTTAAATTATTATAAAATAAATATACCTCTTCTCTCCTCTTTTGATTATTATGTAGTTCTTCTTCTGCAGCTTTTTTTGAGTGGTCTTCATATTTATGTATGTGTATACGATGATTAGCTTAAAATATTAAAAGTAGTAAGTTTGATTTCTACACACAGAGTTAGATTCCTTAAGAGATCTCACTTTTTTATTAATTATTGAAATACTAAGATATATTACCAATAAATAGTTTGTCTTTACTAAGTGCCTTCTGGAGTTCCTTTTCAGTTCTAAATCCTACATAGCAGAAACCTGCTACTCTCTTCCCTTTACCAAGTGGTAATCTTATTGAATATGGAACAAGAGGTCGGAAAAACTCCTTGATGTCTTTTTTTTTACATTTGAAGGGGAGACCAGTTATCTAAAAACATATAAGCGACATTAAACAATTTTGCTTCCATTACTATTCCTAAGTAGGTCACCATTAAATTTAATTCAATTAATGTTTCTTTTTTCTATTTAATGCTGTAATAGAATTGCATTTTTATTTAATTGAATTATCAAGAACACTGATGTCATTAAATGGAATATTAATTTAATTGAACTTTCTCTATTAAAACAGGTGCATTTTCAGCTGCATTCCAAAATCCAAAAAGTTTTCAAATATATTATGGAATGAATGAAACAAATAAAATAAATATTTTTAGATTCATTAGAAGAGCAATCACATGGTTAATGACAGGTTTCTGGTTCAATTTCAGACTAGTGATAAATAAAACTTTATATACACAATACTTATATATACACCACATGAATAAGTCAAATTAAAAATAACAACATAGTGCATCAATTGGCAGTCGTATCCCTGAAAGCAATTTCTATCAGGTAATCTTGAAGGCAGATTTTTTTAACTTTTTAAGATAAATATTAAAACAGTATCAAGAATATAAAAGTCACTTAATCTAATTAAAAAATAATTATTTTTATTAAATCACAGAATAAATTTAGCAATATTCTTTACATACCTTTACATGGAAGAGTGGCCTGTTTCTGATTTTCTTTGTTGTTTGCTCTTTAATTTCTGGAGTGTCTGTGGTTACTCCCCCTACTTTTTTCATTAACAATTTCATATACTAAAATATAATAAATTTACTTTGTAATTTCAGTATTTTTAATAAATCAGAATACATTATTGATGAATTATTTGAACTCATGAGTTTAACTCACCTCCAAATCACTAATTTCTTTGTTGGCAATTTTATTCTCTGTTTTATCAAGATTTTCCATTGAATTCTCATTTTTTTGGGTATGAATGTCAACTGCTTCTGTAGCTTCCTCTTCAGTGCTACTAGCATTATCAGTATTAATAGCATTTTCAAAAGCTTCTTTTATCCAAGTTGTTTTATCATTAACATGAGCATCAATAAATTCAGCAAAAAGAGGATCATCCTTATGCTTAAAAATATAAATTAGAATGTTAGAAAGATATTTACTGTTGATTTATTTACAAAAATTATGTTGCTTCTATGATTGTATGTTTTTATTTAAAAATTGATAATACTCATTATATTGATAATATTCATTATATTTATATGTCTAGTAATATAAATGTGTCTTCAACATAACCAACTAATAATTTCTAATGTTATACAAAAGTTGTTTGATTTTTTTCTTATACACAAAACAATATAAAACATGGCACATACCTTTTTTAGTAAATCAATAATTTTATTTTTATTTTTTTCTTTCTTTTTCTGTAATTTCTTTTCCGATTTGGTTTCAGTTTCGTCTTTGTGAATTTTCTTGTACGCTGTACTGTCAGGTGCATATTTACTCCATGCTCGGGGTTTTTTTTCATCACCAAGATTGGCACAAACTTGTACATTTATTTTCATCGAACGAATACAAGTACCATCGAAGTAATCTTTCGCAGCTTGAGCCTGCTCTTCATTCCGGTATCCAACAAATCCAAAATTTCTGAATTTTCCATCTTTTGTATACTTTAGCTGAACATCCGTTACTTCTCCTTTTTCACTAAATATATCTTTCAGGTTTTCGACAGTTACCTAAATATAAATTAATTTTAAAGAACTTTACAGTCATAAATATTTAAGTATTTTAGGATTCAAAATATTTTTACCTTGTTGGGTAAATTTTTAATAATGAGGCGGGACATTATGTATAATTATAACAATATTACTTAGTACTTTCTAAGGGATAATATTTATGGAGAACTTAACAAAAATTCTTTAAAGTTCATTCTATAAAAATCAAAATAATAGTAAACACACTATAATCACTTGCTCAAATGCACAGACTTAGCTCAAATGCACAGACTTAGTAGGTATCAGACGACCAACTTCCTAACAAAAAATTTCTTCGTAGAACGTGATTGGGAGCCAGTGATACATGACAGCTTCATTCGTTTTAAATATATAGATCTACTATCGGCAAAGGCATTTAACTATACAGCCCTGTTTTGGGTAGGTACCTAGCCGTCTTCCTAGTTCCCACATTATTTTTACTTTAATTTAAATTCCTTTTTTGTTTTAATACAACAATAACAATAAAGCAGACTGATAAGTCTAGCTTATTATTATTGTTGTATTAAAACAAAAAAGGAAAAACGAACACGTAAATGAAACACACATTTTTCCAATATTATTTATTGAATAATTTATTTTTTAACTTATTATATTTTTCACAGCTTTCTTCTGCATTCTCGGCAATTCTTAGCTAGGTTTTTAGTGGCACAACCTTATGAAACTTTTCAAGGTAATCACATTTTTTTTAAAGAGGGCACTGATATTTGCATACCTTTTTATTCACATATTTAAGTTTTTCTAAAATTTCAATTGCGTTTGGCCTGAAAGAATGATGCTCTTTTCCTTTATGCTTTTTTTGTTTATCGATGCTCCATTGACACTATCAAATAATTGGTCAAAGAATGAAACAACTTCAGCTGTATTTCTTAATGTTGTGCTGACAGGCCTGCCATCCACATAAGTTGCTGCAAATTAAAATATTCATACAATAATTGTATGAAACTTGATTCAAAACTATTAACTGTTAGTAAATTTCATCTAATACTCACAGAAATTTGCAGAAATTTACAGCTGCAGACATATTTTTACACAATTTTTTACCTGCAAAAAGAGATATCATATTTAAAATTATCTTCATTAGAGAATCATTATTGTAATTTAAGTATAAACTATATTAACTACTTGTTACATAATTAAAAATACAGGTCATTGAATCAACACTTGCTCTGATAGAGAATATAGAAGCTAAATACAAATTATTTCTTTTATTTATACTAATTTAAGTTATACTAATATAGTAACCAATGCATTACCTTCATCATTTTAATTTTATCAGGTATAACTCATTGCTCATTTAATTTATGACGTAGCCCAGCTTCAGTGTGTTGACAGTCTGTCTCATAGACATAAATAATATCATGCCATTTTGCAAGTTTACTATCCAATATTAAATTTTTTGTTAAAAAATTGTTCCTGATGCATTTTATCAAGTGTGTAGAATCATAATGTTCAATTCCACCCCACATATTTTAAGAATGCCAACTGAAACAAAAATTTAAGAACTTCTTAAAACAGATAACAATATAAAAATAAGAACCTTCACTACTTTCATTAAATCTATTAGTTTTCTTTCATATAAATATAATTCTCTGTACCAACCTGTGATTTCAATTTAAAATTTGATCACACTAAGTGTCTTCTTTTAGATTTTTGAGTGCTGATTGAAAGCTGAGCCTTGGTCATATATTATTGCAATGGGATTAAGGTCCAATTCAACAAATTTTGTCTACTACTAACTTTAAAATATTCTTGATGTACAGAAGATGTCGCTCCTTGACAGAAATACTAACATAAAGGCTGTTGCCACTTGTAAACAGCACCAACATAAATACAATAGTATGATCTGCAAAATCCACTTTCTTTTCTTGGTGTTCTACAAATCCATTAATGTTATCTTTAATCCTTATTACTTTTATTATACGAAAGTGCTGTTTCTAATGACTTCTCATCAAATATAATGGAGCATATTTTTTGGAGTTTCATTTGTCCACCTGAAAAAATAAATTCAAATAGGTAGGTACATATTATTATTTGGTAGTAATACAAAAAATTATAAAAGTAGTATGAAAAACCTTATATGGAATATATTTACCTCTTACATGAAGCCTGGTTCTATGATCAATTTTCTAATCATAGTATTCAGTGTAGTTTTGGATGATAAAATAAAAAATTTTGCTTAAAAATCAATAACACTTTGGACACTGCTTTGATATTGATAAAGCAATTATCTTTTCTTCGGTAGTGAATCACCTCTCATGTTTATTTTTAGAGCACATGCTCACTTGCATTTCAAAAACATTTTTTGCAACTGTGTTCATTTTTTGTCAGAACTTTTCAAATGATAAATTTTTACAAAAATTAAAGATATTTAAGTATTCTTAACTTTATTATGAAAGTTCAACTACGTCTTTGGCTTGTTATATTCTTTATAAATTCTCTGGTATAAAGGTGACAATTGGCTTTATTTGGTAATAAGCCTTTTCCTTTTTGTTTGGGTACATTTCACAGGGTCTGTAACATCAAAAGTATTCAGTGAATTTCTCTATTAGAACTACTATTTGATTGAAATAAAGATACACTAAAGAAAGAGACAGGTCTTACCAGATAATTTAGTTTGTATCATATTTTAATCTCCAGAGCAAGCAACTAATTGAGTAAACTCAGTGGCTGCAGACACGGGAGTCTCAATTTGTTCTTTTAAAATTACACCACCTATGAAATCAATATTGATTATGTATGTAAGATTAAAAAACAGGATATAATCTTAGATGACATTAGAAATATGTTATTTATATTATCAATTTATTTTCTGATCAAAATCACTTCTAGCGAGCCCGCTAGAATTAAGTAACTTAATGTCATTTTTCTTTATGTGTGTAAGAAAGAGAGATCTACTAGACTTTTTTAAAGCAAAAATCTATATTAAAATACACCAAAACTGCAGCATGAACTTTGTTATCTAAATAAAATAAAAACAAACCTCTGTTCAGTTCCACTTTCTAATATGTGTGGTCAACATGACTTTTTCTTGCATAGCTGTGTTCCCAAGTGAATATAATTTCTGTAATAAAAAAAAATCTAATGAAGAATAGCGGTATTCCAAAACACAACATAAAATGAAGATACATATCATTTTAATTACATTATCTAAAGCTAATAGCAGATTAAACCAGCTTTACCAGTATTGCTTAAAGAGGGTCGGCTGATTGAAAGCCCATCATCAATAAACAATGACGGATATGCATCACCCAAGAGTCATGATTTTGGAGTGATGAATCTTGGTACAACGTGTTTGCTACAAATGACACTTCTGCCTGGATTAAAATTTTCAGTACCACACACAGCACTAAGACATTGTAACCACTTGGAGAATCTTTTCTCGTTCACTAGAATCTTATAAAGAATAGCGTCCTGTTCGCACTTTAACAATGCGTGTAACACAACCATAACACAACACACCAATTTCTTAGGCATCTTCTACAAATAAAAATATTTCGAAAAATGGAGAGTTTATATTACAAATAAAGCGAAGACGGTAAGCACAAAAGAAACTTTACTCAATCACTAGTAATTCCCTGATATGTAGGTACATACTTTAGTCTTCTTCTTCTTTTATCAATGGCATATCTGCGCATTTCACACAATTTTGCCAATGTGAAATGAATAAATTAATTCCAACATGTAAAATGAATTAAAGATTGATTAAAACATTACTATCTTTACTCTTTGTTGTAATGACAGTTTCTGTCAGGTGTCATGTCTCCATCTACTGACAGGGGTGAGGGGCGTGAGGAAATGTCATACATCACTGGACCCTACGCGATTGGTTTATTGTACGGAGTTGACGGGCCGTGGCTCAAATGTGACTTCATTATGACATTTCATGACATTTTTGATATATAAAAAATTAACACGTGCGTTTGACTTTGGTTGTTGTTTATAATGACAAAGCACAGACTTAGTAGATATGGACAAAGGTATCTCAATACAGCCACGTTTATGAAGTACTCTGTGAGCAACCTTTGATTTTTGTTTATCATGTTTTTGATGATTAATAAATATAGGTAGGTAAATTATTTCTTGCATAGTATCACAAACTTATAGTATACAGATGTGGCGTAACTTAAGTAATGGATAACCTTGTATACTAGGATTGAAAACCTTAAGGTCAAAGCCCGAGAAAAAAAATACGAACTTCCTGACGCGATTAATGTTTGTGTTTGAATTTATTTTTGATTTTTAAGAAAATGGTTTTTATTATGCATAATGACAGATTAGGCTTTGTAGAGCAGATCTCTTTACGTTATATAAAATAAACTTAAATTAATCAGCTGTTTTGTGTCATTGATGAAACTATCTTTGTTTGCTGATTTTTATATAAATGATTCTAAAGGTCTAACTTTAAGTTAAAGCTATTTGATCCTTAATTATTGTTCGAAAAAATACATAAAAATGTCGACGATGACTTTCGGACAAAAACAATTTATTCCGACACCGCCTGATAAAGGAAGTTTTCCCTTGGATCACGAAGGTTTGTGTAAAGAGATCATGACAAAGTACATGAAGTGTTTAATAAACAACAATAGTAATAATTCTTTGTGTAGAGTTGAAGCAAAGGAATACTTAGCCTGTCGAATGGAACATAACCTAATGGCAAAAGAAGAGTGGTCGAAATTAGGCTTTGAAGAGAACAAGAAGAGTAACGAAATTAAAGAAAAAAATGACTTATCGCATTAATATTAAGACTTGTTGTTTTTTAATTTAAAAAAAAACCTATTTACTAATCATTAAATGCGTTGTTTAATTTGGTTCATTTTTGTTTAGATTATCCAGCCAAAGGAGGTGAACGAAAGTAAATATTTATCTTTACACCTCACAAATTAACTTTAGAATTCTGGCTCATAGTGGTGTGTGGAGGTTGAAATTTTTATACTACAATTAATTATTTTCTTTTGCCTCCTTTGGTGCATTCCATTCAAATTGATTTGAATTTTCCTAAAAATTCTCTCTTTAGTTGTGTTATGCCTTGATGAAGTTTAGGTTGTGTATATAATATGTTGGTATTATTTCTTAGGAATTATACCTTTATTTGTTCTTTTAATGATACTGCCTTTTGAATGCTCTGTACATCTTCACCGGTTTGACTGGTAGAGAATGCCTTTTTGGCATTAAGTCTGCCATTTGCTATGTTATAGGCATAAAGATTAAATAAATAAATGTAGTATAAATGCATTTTATGGAGTAGTTTCCTACTATTCTATTACTTTTTTTTTTTTTGCATTGAATTCATTATCTCCCAAACACCAGTTATAAAAAAATGAAAAAAAAACAAAAAAAATAGAACCAACTCCAAACTTAAAAAAAGTGTTATCTCACTTATTCAAGATATATTTTTTAAGTTTTCATTTCATGCTTTTTAGTTTATATAATAGGTAACAACCTATTATTTCATTACATAAATAGCTCTTATTCTCTGAAAGCAGTTGTAGAGCGAGAGATATATCGTTTTGTAAACAACTTTGATATTGATCAAACAAGGATGGCACTTTAGCGTTTCATATGCTATACCGTCTTCATAAGTGATGTACAGCTCAACAGTATAAGTATTACTGTCTATCTCATATTTCAGCAGTACACTCTTATTATTTCGTCCTACGCATTCTAATGCTTTCTATAAATCCACAAAACTGAATTTTTAATTGTGGAGCGAGAAAACTCGACCCCAACACAATGTTCGATTTCTAATTCAAAAGCAAATTTGTTACATTCTTAGTACTCTAGAAAACATCTCAAAACATGCTCAACCTCACCACTAATAAATTTATTTAGCCTTTCGTATTAGTAATATTAATTTTACGCTAACCACGAACCAAAACTTGAGTATAGCAAAAAGAAAGTTATGACATGATAGATTTTTTTTTGTATTTTTTTCGGTTTTGCCGCGTAAAAATCTATAAGAAAATATATAAAAACCCTATGCAGTTTTTATAATTTGAATCTTGGAAACGGCTCCAACAATTTTCATGAAATTTATTATGAAGGGGCAATAAATCGATTTAATTAGGTTATACAAGTACTACACATTTTAGTACTAAAATTTAACGTATTTAATCAAATACGAAATGAAATAAACCACCAAACTTCTCTGCTAATATCAAACAAAGTCATTATTATGATAATAAAACTCATTAAGTAATAAGTTGAATTAATAAAAAACATCTGAGATATTATTCTCGATTAAAGAAAACTATGTATACCTACTTAGAGGTTAGAGGTCTATTATGAATTACAGAATAAATTAACAAAATATAATATAAATTTAAAAGTTTGTTTAGTTCACCTCACACGCCATTATAACGAATAATTTTGAAAGTAGCTTCTTAAGAAGCCCAAAATATCCTACGAATCGCCAGCTTATTTTCTCCTTATTGTTCTGAGTGGTAAGTGTAAGTTTAACGCTAACGCGTTCACTAGTGAGCGCTTTAAGATTTTGTATGGAGATTTGTAGTTCTTGGTAGTTACCACTAGGGACACTGTACCGGATTCCATACTAAAATCTTAACGCGCTCACAATCGACAGTGAACGTAAACGTCAAAAAAACTTACACGAAGCGCTCTGATCAGATAACCAGCCGCTGAGAAGGTCCTTTTGGAAACAAAAGTTATGTAAAATTGTAAAACTTCACCTTTTGACCCCTCCAATTTACACTTGACTTTGGACTCACAGAAATTCACTCTTCCGCACTTAGAATAAGTCACTTTTGTGCTCGAGTGTAATCTCGTTAAATAGACCGAGATTAGTCTCGCTAAAAAAGGCCGAGATCTCGCGATTGCATTCCCTAACCGCAATGCCTTAATTAGGAGTAAATGTATGACGTAAGATCACAGTTGGAGACAAATAAATAATGATTAGTCTCTGCGGTAATTAAAAGTACTGCTAGTAGGTGTAATACTTATAATACCGGGTATTAGACGCGATTTTACATCAACCTGCGCCGACGCGACGTTTCGGCCGGGTTGTATCGGCCGCTGTCACGAGGAGACTACCCGGGCCCAATCACGACGAGACTACCCGGGATCTGCATCGGCCCAATCTGGGCTTATCCAGATCTGACCGGGTATATTACGATATGCCGCCATTTCTTGCAGAGATGGGCGGCAACCCGGGATTTCTCCTACCATCTATCTCTGTATGTAAGCAAATAAAAAGATAGTTATAATTGTTGTTTACTATTTTTACTTAAAAATGTTCAAAATTATCTTCCCAGAAAGCATGCAAAGTTAGGGCAAGTTTGATTTTTCTTTGATTCTAAATTGCTGCGTCAAATATGACGAGGTAAATTTGTGACAATGTCGCTGCAATATTGTTATGTTAAAGAGGAAGTTTCAAGTTTGCGTCAATATGTTTACCGATACATTTATATTAACTTAATATAAAATAAATAGGTATTTGCGAAGAAACACATAAACATACCTGAATCATTAAACTTAACCCGTTCCCTCAATCTTGAATATATTGAGTAAGTATCGAGTCGCCTTTTCATTCTAAACAACTCGCTATTATGTTGCGTGAGGTGTAATATCTGTACACGCGCCTCGTGCTTGAAGCCTCAAAAAGTGAGGAGCTAAATGAGGTGAGTTCAAAATTAAAAAACGAGTACTCCTTCATTTTGTCGAAATGTGGACCTCAAACGAGGCACCTCGCGAGTGAGGGGCTCATCACTATTACTGTGTGTAAGGTGTTTCCCGGATTCTAAAGTCGCAATCGCTTTTGAACCAAAAGATGTTTTGAATGATCATAAGATTAATAAAAACTTAGTGAACTTAAAGTAATTTTTGCCTCGAAACCTGTATTCCAGGTACTTGAGTACCTGAGTACCTGCTAGGTATTAGAGTAATTTCATTAAAATTGTCATTTCTACCGTATCAATGGTAGTGCAAGTTTGTCATAACAAACTTGTATGCAAGTTTGTCACACTGAAACTAGTAAGTTTAAATTAAACTTGTTGCATGTTTGTAAAGTTGCCATGGCAAACTTGAGGCAAGCTTTCTTTTTGATGTATCAAACTTGTTGCAAGTCTGAAACATGTTTAAATTGCTATCTGGGTTAAATTTAGTTTCAATCAAAGTACAATCTGATGTACATAGAATCACATATTTCTAATTAATATATTTCCCAGTTCAGTATCAGTTACCCTTATGTTATCGTTGATCTGCCAAACTTTTAATCGGGCTTATCGTAATTTTCTGGCCAAACAAGAAATGGCGTCATATCGTGATATGCCCGGGCAGATCTCCATCGGCATCAACGATTGCCCATTGGCACATCATTGGTTTTATAATATATTGCTAAGCCAGAAGCCTATGGATGGGATCGACATCATTTACATTGAGTTTGGGTATTGTGGTACCTTCGTTGTGTCATATAGGATAGCCACGTAAAGTTGCAAATGCTATGGGCCCCGCCTGTTTGAGGGCCCCAATCAGAGCCAATTAAATAACTTTTTAAGTCAGCGTTAAATAATGCAAGAAATAACACAAACCACAGTTCAGACTAGTCATATTTTTAGGTAAGAAAATAAACTGACAAATAAAACTCAAGTCACAAATCAGTTGTGTTGTGTTTTTGAAAGGCAAAGGATAACTTTTCTTTTTCGGGGGGGATTTGCTACGGACCCCGCTCTGGCTTAATTCGGCACTGTATATATATATGTGCTTTAGTTAAGATAAGTAAATATATTTTGGAACCTAACGCCTGTTTTCATTAAACTTAGGAGTCGCGAAATCTAACGCCTAAGACTAGGAATCATCTAACCACTTTAAAGGAATATAAATGATGTTGTGTTATATTTATAGTTGCATATAGTTTGTGTATATGTTTCTGCGGTAACGTAAAAAAACATTTTCGGATAAGAATATTGGATTAACAATGATTAACAAATTACTGGTTTGTTCGTGTCAGTTCTACGATTTGTAAGAAGATGCTGTAGCTGTATTACAAATTAAAAACATCTATTTTGCTTTCTGAGTTCGATGTGAAGTAATTGAAATGAAATTGAACTTTCATAAGTCATAGTATAACGACATGCCTAGGTCCTATTTAATTCCCCAATGAGGAAGTATATTTAGAAAAAAAAGAAAGCACTAAAATAGCACCTCACTAGATAGCGACTCTACCAAAAGTTGATTTTTGCAGGAAACGAATGGACTAAAGATAGTCATTTCCATTCATTTTAACTGACATATTCAAAAACTGGAATTTGCAAAGTTCCAAAAGTACAAATATAATATGAGTTGCTTATTGAGTTTTTAAAATTAATTTTTTTTTTATAATAAATTAATTTTAAAAACTTAATAAGAAAGAAATCTGAAAGGGTTGTCATGGAGAAATCAAGAAAGTATCGTAGCGACATCTAGTTTGATTTTGGGAGTTAATGTTTTTTAAATACTTTCTCATTGAATGTCAACTAGAGAAATTTACAGTTTTCTTTTAAACTATTGATTTCTATGAAGTGAAAAAATGTTTTCTTAATAAGTTGGTAGTAGAACGTGTGGGTAAGGTTAAGAATGATAACAAACTATGGCGTTTATAAAAAGAAATCTTTATTTTTTTTCTTATGAAAAACATTATATTACGTCTTAAATTAATTGTTTATTTGAAACTACAAATTGAGTAATTATTTTAGAATATTACAATTTTTTTATTATATTTTTTATTGCCATGAGATATGGCAATTTTATAAAAGTAAATATCACAGTTATTATTAAATTATTTGTGACAAAAGAATTTGTAAAAAAGCTAAGTAGTGTATTCTTAATTTTACTAAACATATAATGAGCGAGTTGATTCATAGGTTTTTAATAATTATAATTATTGAAAAAAATTACGTAAAAAATAACTACAAAACAAGTCATCTCGCTTATAAATTCGGGATCAATAAAAAGTTTTTCAATAATACAGTTTTACAAAATGGTAGACAGGTATTTGTATAATTTAATAAATTTTAATCAAGATTGCACATTTTTTAAGATAATAATGTCAAACTTATATTATGGAGTGTTTTAATATAGTAATTTCATTCACCCTTGCTGATTGGAGGTGTATTGGATGAGATTACAAAGTAATCCATAGAAGTTGGTATTCATGAACTGACATTGTATTTTGTGTTTTTACATTGGTTTTTGTCCAAAATGCAAGTAGAATCGTTATAAGTAATTATATAAATAACTAACTAATGGTCTAAACCAATTTATCTTCATAACTAGCAGAATAAAGTGGTATACAAGGATAGAAAAAATCTCGTAATAATCCTTTTATATATTTGTGTTTTCATATTTTCATTGTTAAAAAATTACTATAAAAATTTCATGTTATTTTTAAAATGTTCATATCATTGCACAAGCATTTCATGTTATTTATTACAAGTAATTACATTGTTATAACATATCATAAATATTCCATTTACAATGTTATGTTTGAACAGTTTTTACAGAGTCGCTGATTTTATTTTTTTATAGTTAATTTAATTATATTATGTGTTTGTTAATTATGATAACCAATACAAAATTCTCCATCGATCGGAAAACTTAGAAATATGATAATCTCGGTCAAAGTTTATATTCTTAACACCCTTATAAAAATTTCCGAAGTTAAGATCACCACCTGCAATAGTTTTAAATCTTTTACGTCCTTCATATATTCACGGATTTTTGCAAGCTAAGAAATAACGATAGTTATTTGGAAAGCACATATTTATAGGATTAGATGAATATATTTAACTTGATCTTTTTATATTTGACACACAATAGTAACATACAAAAATACACCCAGACAATTTATTCTGTACAATGACTAACTATATTAAGCACCATATTCATTCTACATATCCATTTTATTAATCCAAATATAATCTGGTATATGGCAGTGTAATGAAACCTCTTATTTATGTGTATAATAAAACGAATATGTAGGAAGCTTACATTCAAATACAGTAATAAGGCAATCTTCTTAGGTATATGTTTTTTATCTATCCTATGTAAACGCTTACTCATGTAAATAAGGTATAGTTTTGTTATAAGATATCTATTATTAGCGATTCTGTTATGCAAAGTAGGCGAAAAAAATTTGTGTTTTAAATTTTGTAAACATGTAATTGTTATAGTTTACAACAGTATAATTATATTTCTTTGATTACATGTGGCTATGGAACAACGTTAAAACAAAGCCAAATGTAATATTTATTTGTTTTAATTATTTTGTGCTATTACAATATAATTGTCGACAATTTTATGTGTAACTATTGGGTAATGGAAATAATAATTATGTTTTTTTAAATTGTCGTTATGTAATTATTTAAATCCCAATTGAAAACGTTAATAATTACTATTTAAAAAATAATAAAAGGATAAAAATTCGCGTCATTATAAACTCCATGTTTTTGTGTCTTTCATTTCATTGACATCATGAGACACTATATTATGTTCTTTCTTATACAATAAAATGCAGTTTACGATTCTACCTACAATAAGATTATAATTCAATACTTTAATATATTACAGATTACAGATCGTGTACCTCTATTAACCAGCATATGAGATGTCTTAAAACTACATAAGTAATAGTAGTGTTTTTTTAAATACATACAGTGAAAGATAATACATTAATAAATACTAAAAACATCTAGGCATGTGCTTACTTTACAAAGAAATTTTGTGATTTTTATTCATTTTTTAGTAAGGCATTCTTGTGTGTATAATTTATTATATAATATTTTTATTATGTTTTATAATCCTTTAGTATGCACTTATGTCTTATCAGACGAGTAATATATAAAATAATAATACAGCGGTAGCACAGTGAATAAATATCATAAATTGTTACTTTATAGGAATAATGTGTAAGTATATTTTTATTAAATAGTGACATCAAGAGGCTAAAACTGTACAGAAGCTAAATGGCTGGTGTTATATACCTTACATGACATTAACAAACCAAGCACTCGATCATATTGAGATCAAAATGTACACATTACATTTCAAACAAATTATAATAATTGCATCATTAGAATAATTACTTTACTAAAAGTGAATTATAATAGTTTAATATATCGTAGGAATTAATACTAAAACAGGCAGTGCATACTTTGCGCAATGATTTTATTCTAAGCTTAAAAATCCTCTCAGACGTGTTCCGATATGTACTTGTTGAGTCAAACACATTACGCGTTATGGTTATTTTTATTACTATTCGATACGCAGAATATTATTCTTCTGTGTTTCGATAAATACCCTACAACGTGGCACATATTCTTTATAATTATGCAGTCAATTTGTTTTCTACAAACAATATTCTATTATGTAGATCTAACATAGCTTATGAATATTAGAATGACTGAAATTAAGGTTACTAAGTGGTTTGATAAGAGGGAATGCGCAGAGCTAGGAGAACGAAGAGTGGAGCCAGGCGCGGGAAGAGCACGGAAGGGCGCGCGCCGACCAGCCCGCTCTGGAGGGCAACCCATCCAGAAAGCCGCAGAAGGCAACTGTCGCTCATGCTCTACGCGCATTTGTAGATCATTGAATTTCCAAAAGCCCTTTCCTTTAAAGAAGTAGGTTTTACCTGAAAAAAGTATACCAATCAACATTTGTCGATTAATTGCGAGAATATTTGAAATTAATGATTATGTCTAATCGTACCATCCTTCCATTGGAATACGCTATCGATGTTGTAGCCCACACCTTTCCACATTGACATGTCACGAGGGTAATCTAATTCTACTCGACCTTCATCCTCATCGTATCTGAAAATTAATTGTTGTTAAAATAAGTTTACATTAAAATCTTTTGTGTTTTTTTTTCTCCTACTTGTAAGGTTTGTGCTATACTTACTTCCAATACATAGTGCCACTGTAGAAATAGGTCTTATCATTGTGACCCCAAACCATGGCAGCATCTATCTTGTCTAAACTATCTGGTAAACCTAAATGTGTAATAGGTCTAGGATATCCTGGCACTAAAAATTGCGAGTCAAAGAGGTATAATTCCCGACCTGAAATAAATAAGAAGTAAAATGTTAAATATTTAAGTAAATACTCGTAAGTTTAAATATTTGCTTTAGATTCATTCGTTATAACTTACCAACAAAGAAAGCTATCTTTTTATCAGGTCTTTCATAAACTGCATCAACGTGAGTTAAATCTGAAGGGAGTCCTGGCCACATTCTAGAAATTTCTATTGGATATTGAGGATATCTACCTTGGGCTCCTATCCTCCAATGGTACTGGAAATAAAATGTGATTTATTAGCGATTTGTATTGAAAAATGTATGGAAAAAACTAAAAAAATATTACAATAATGAGAAATCTTACTCTATTTTTGAAAATAAAGAGCTCTCCTCGTATGAGAGCAACAGCATCATAACTCGTGTCGCAAGTATCGGGTTTATCGGATGGAGGCGTGGGTCGAATGGTAGTTTTGTCAGGATAGTGTGGTTTGGGCTTAGGAACGTTTCGGTATGGAGATTTCGGTCTAGGATTACTTGGATACTCCGGTCGTACTGTAGGGTAATGCGGACGATATGTGACCGTTTTAGTGGTGGTTTCAGGAGTAGGCCGGGGATAATGATGTGGCCGTTTCGGATATTCATCACTGGTGTCATGATGACGACGTTCCGGGTAATATGTAGGGTAATTCGGTCTCTCTGGGTAATTTGGTCTGTCTGGATACGTAGGCCTCTCTGGATAATTCGGTTTTTCAGGATAATATTTTCCAGGGTTACGAGGATAAGGTGTGTATTCGGGTCTGTGGTTTGGATGGTGTCTATTGTGATGGTAGGTCGGTCTTTTTGTTGTTGTAGTTGTCGTCGTAGTTGTAGTTGTAGGAGGAGTTTTTACTGGTCCATAGTTAGGAATCTTTGCCCATGTCCTTTTAACCTTAGGACCTGAAATGTGGTAAATATTTGTGTTTGTAGTTTTAATATTAAATATTTGTTATTATATATTAAATTTGAACAACTATTTACTTTGAATTGTATGCAAAGATATTTACCATACATCTGTTGAATACCATTGCGGTCGTCTTCTGGTAATACGAAATTCGGTTGAATGCCTTGATACCAAGGGAACATGAGTGCTCCTTTTACAGAACTGTGGCTGAGACCCAAAGAATGACCGAATTCGTGTGCAGCCACAGCAAACAGCGATGTCCCTGTTTATTATTAAAGTTCGAATTAGCGTGAACAAAAACGGTATTGAATAAACTTGCAAAATAGGATCAGCAGGGAGAACCTTAGCCTTGATTATAGATATAGCTATAAAACTTTTTATTGTTTTGTTTATATTAATTTAAAATAACATTTGGTTTAATTTTCTTTTAGACATAGCTTATTTGTCTAAATTCAATATTTTGTAAATTTAGTCTAACTTTAATAACTTACTAAACTAAAACAACCAAAATTATTGATTAAATATGTAAATAATAAAACAAGAACATTGTATAAGAATATATTAACATATTCATTGATAGAGTCAATAGAATCTTATAGCTATAACTAGAGTCATAACGAGATTGTTAGGTGGTCGTTCTCCTGGTATGGACGCAATGCATAGTGACCTGTATTTGACAAGTAAAAATGTGGTAACCATGTATGCGGGCAGTTTGCTAGCTGCTGGTCTGTATTTATTCATATTTGCCTGTGGTCCGGGTTAAATAAAGGTAGATATTAACACATGGCTAGTCGAATACAATCTGAAGCGGTATTGTAAGCGTTCGTTGTCCGCGTAAATTATCACGTGTGCTGCAGGAGGGCGTGGTAATCGTTGCGTATGTGTCCATGCAAAACGGTTACCTCTCCTATCGAGTTCCACAAATATTGTGTTTCTGCAATATGTACTCGGTTCTACCGTTTTTGGGTTTTGTCATGCCTAAACGAAAACTAGAGAGTCGTGCCAGATCAAATACTAGACTAAAACCATTGTCTATTTTTGGATTCTCGACTACTCCAATCTCTAAACGATTACTTACCTACTTATAAAAACATGAAGTGACAGATTTAAATGTAAACACGACGTTGTTTGCAATTTATCGGCTAGTAAAGTTTAGATTACTGAAGGTAGGCTTTGCTTGTGATGCTCTGTTACCCATTTGCATGTCAAAACATAGCCAACCGCGACATGCTCATTTCCGACTGTGTGTGTCCACTTTTCAAGTTGAAATACAATTCCATTAGGCAATTTAAGTACGTTTAGTTCCAATTAAACACTGTTATCGAGGCGATTGTAAAACCATACAAGCTAATGTTATGTCTCGTTATTCATCCAAAAAGTTATCAGAAATAAACGAAACTAGCATTTATCATATTGTTCTATTATATTCGTTCTTCATTGTAAATGTCCAATTCTACTTTCACTATTGAATTAAGTTCAATGGACGCATCTAAACTGATTTTTTGTATCGTTCATAATTACTGGGTGATACCACTCGCAGCATCGGCCATTAAAACTTTCATTAGTCTTACAGGGACATTACCGATACAAATTTTCAAATTTAAAATATTAATTAGAACTTATAGTCGTCATAAAACCGTTAATGCAACTGTATATAACATTTATCGATGTATAGGGTATATATACCTTCTTCATCATCGTTTTTCGGTTGTAGAAGCCATAATTCGTCGTCATCGAAGTGTGCATCGCCGCCGCGACCAGAGCCAGGAAAAAACGCGTGTGCAAGAATACTGCCGCGCCCGTCAAACGGGTAAGCATCGCCGTGGTTACGTCTGAAAATAGCATATAACATATTTAATTTAACGCTACAAAGTAATGCTTGAAAGAGAAGGAGGATAACACAGAAAAAACTGTATTTTATTTCCAAGGGTGATCTTGAGAAAATTTGATACACATGTTGTGGCCAGATTGTAGAATTGACCAATTCATAATGTGGCCGGCCATTTCATGAAAGCGATAAAAAATTGCTGCGGATATCACGATGTGGCCTGGCCAGATCAAAGAATAATTTTAATAATTATGGACTGCTGATCGTGTGACTGCTTCATGATGAAGCATTAATGATTACATCGTAAAATTACTAATTAGTTAAGTAATGTAACTAATTACTATTATTATACTATCATACTACTATTATTCTATATACTAGTTACATTACTATTATTATTATATTATTCTCTGTACGAGGCGCTGATGTCGCATTGTTTTTGTGATTCATGATGTATTTTGATTTTTAGGTTATACAACAAATTAAAGTAAATAGGGTGATCAAGCAACGGAAAATAATTACTTGATTTTGTTTAGTATAAGTGTAGCGCGAAGGTGCGGCGGCAAAGGCTATTATTCTATAGTTTTATGGATATGTCGCAAGATTATGATAAAGACAGGATTTTGATCTAGCTCCTGAGGATGATAAAAATATATTAGAGGATATATATATATATATAATAGTTTTTGAGATATGAACTCAACTAAATTTCCTATATGATTGACTATCGTACTGTTAATTACGATAGGTGGTGGTTGGTGGTGATAGGTTAGAAATTTAAGCTATATTTAATCGCTACGCTACACTTCACAATTGTATTAAATTTCGATGTTATTTTTTTCAGGCCACAAAATCATAACCCTAACGTATAAACAAGCTATTTCAGTAAAAAAATATAGATCATTTTGGACACCCTACATTAATGATATTACCAAACTTGGATTGCGATATCATCAAATGTTGACGCTTAAACGATATGATCAATTTTAGGTGGCCATTTCATAAAATTTCATGAAACGGACGGCCATATCATGAAATGGTCAATTCTACGATATGGTCACGACATATATGGTATATACATTAGGTAAGGTTACATAATTTTAATAAAAATAATCATCATAAATTAAAGAGACTGCTCACGCATCAATTGAAGAAAATAATAGTATAAAAGTTATATATTCATCCCGCAACAAACAACAGTTGATGGAGTGGACGGACGTTGCAGAGCAATCAAACTTGCGTCCCCCGACGCGGTCCGGCCACTACCCACCTAATCATTTTTCGCGCCAACAAAACAAAGGAAAGACCTCGCCCATGCATATTTCACGCAATATTAGCTGGCCGCTGCGTTATTGAGTTTCATGTGAAAGTTCTGCCATTAGCTGATATGGGCGGGTGCGCAAATACGTAATACTGCTTCTTCGGTAGGACGTATGACTGTTCACTTAGAGTTGATGAATATTACATAAAATTTTCAGTAACACAATTTCTTTCTCTTTTTTTTATGGTTACACAATGACTCTGAAAACGTAATTAACTTTGTTATTTTGTCTTTTCACAAATATTTTGTAATTACTTGACTCCTTTATTTTTCTTTTCTGTAGTTTACATATTTTTCATTCAAAATATAATTATTTTGTTCTCACCAAGGTGCATCTTTCGAAAAGTTTTTGTCTTACTAAGAATTGTAATTTTTGTCGAAATCGTGTAAATCGTGTGAATCGAGAAATGCTCGAGAGGCTCCTTCTCGGTCGTTTCTCGAGTTCATCATACTTACTACACGGGTCGAGGTGAACGAGAAATATAATGTCATCTTTGTCATATAATTGTAATTTTAGTACGGTGCCAGATCGGTATGCGATCACGCGAATATTATAACCGAAACACGTTGGAATATAAATAAAAATAGTGATCAATATTCGGGGCACATTTTTTTTACCTCGAATCATAGATATTGACCTCATACAGTCTATTATAAGTTTTGAAACTAATCATTGATTGTCAATTGTTAGTGGTGTTCTAATCGTGTCATTGTCCTGTATTCCTCGTGCTATAACATCTCGACTGTTTCTTGGCAATTGCACATATATAGTTACAACAAGCAGTTAAGTTGTTGTGTTACTTTATTATGCGGGTAATATTATACTCCAAGACTGCGATAAATTTGGGTGACGCATGTAACAATTCATATGTATTTCAATATATATGAAAATAAAAAAAGAACATTTATGACATAAAGTTTTTTGTCTGGTACGATAAAGACATAGAATTTAAGTTTAATAGGTTGTTCCCAAAAATCTTTCCCAAAACGTTATTTAAATATAATCGAAAATTATGTTAGAATTTGAACTATTTATAAATTAGCTGAATGCTGAGAAATTAGAGCACTTTATACCAGTCAATAAGGCTTGATATCATTGATATTGATTTGGCAATGACATGGTTTTGTAAATTAAAAGAGCTGATTAGATTCTTATTAACAGAGATGTCCCAAATTTGTGATCGGTAAAAACTACTACACGGTTGAAGTCCTTACAAAAAGCTTATTTGAATAAAAAAAATATACTTTGATTTTTATGCTGTTATAGATAGATAAATTCAAAAATTAATACAATTTATTATAGCTTGAACTGATAATAGTTCTAAGAAGTGGTGTCGAGACAAACTTGTGGCGCAGGGCTCTTGCCTTGAGGAAAAAAAGGAAAATTTTATGCAGACCGCTGTAGTTGTGAAGTTCACATTGCAAGTTTGCACCGTTCGTCCACAATATGGCGGTCGCAATATGTCCACACTTTGGGTTTTTGTCGCTGCTTTCTCATATCGTCGTCTACGGTGATCTAATAAGCAAAAGTTTGCCCTTCGCTCATTCAATATGCTACTCTTGTCGGCGACTCGGGTCATTTGTTAGGATGTAGCTTCGCGTCCCGGGACTGTTTATTATGATTACGCGTTGTTAATAACAGGAATTCGTTTCGTAAAACATTTAGACATTATAAGATCATGTTTATTGTAGAAAATCGATGTTGTCGCGTAATTAATTTCACTTTATCGGTCTTGTTTTTTTCATTGTATATCCCATTAGTTACGGGGTGGCAATATTTTTCGCTGGTCTACTTTGCATTTAAATATACTTAATTGACATTTTCAACATGAAATTGTATGGAGTGCCTTTCCCGACCGATAGAGTAGGACGTGCAGTGAATACGTAAAAACGAATTGCCCCTCAGTACATTAGCTGAACAGAGTTAATTTACCTTCTAATTTGAATTTAGATCTATCTAATAAATATAGCTAACTAAACTTTGATTAAGTTGTACCAAATAACTTTATAAAATACGAGTAGAGGAAAGTAACTGTATATGGAATATTGAAAATTCTTAGGTTGTTCCTAAGAGGGGGAAATTTGTAAATTGGCAATAAGTATAGGAATTTCTGTTAAGTTTACGGACGTTTCTCTTCTTTTACGTCTTTATCATCTAATAATTTAATTCTACTTAACCGAATCTAGTGTATATCTAAGCGACTACCTATATTACACCTGCCTAATGCTTAAAAGTATAGTGAAAATGAAACCTTAAAAACTAATGGTAGGTAAGTAAATAGATGATTCCAAATTCTAGATGAAAAGAACACATTGAAATAGTTTCGAGTGCTAGCAATTTTTTCTCGGTAATTTTAGTTGTTGAAACGTGTGATGCGAGACAACAGCTCGCCGTACTGTATCTGGTGTCAGATAAATGGATTTAGCCGGTCACGTCCACAGAATGAAAGCGAGCAGGAGCGACCTACATGAAATTTCGAACTCCACTGTTGTTCAGACTTTTTATACAAT